TTACCACCTGTTACACCCTTTTGCTGTGAAAATCCATCCATTCGGGGACCAGGAAGTGGGCGGAGAGTATACAAATGTGTGTGTGAAGCAGTGAGTGCAATACCAGCTAAAACCATGTGGGGGAGCTACTGAGCACAATTTACACATACACAGTGATCAAAAAGCATGCTTTTTGGGCCATTGCTAAAAACTGCATTGGAACATTCAGAGCAGCTCATGTATTGCTTTTTAACTGTTTTCCTCATGGGGACCTGATTTTGGGTCCCCATACCGCATACGGTCCCCATGAGGTGACTGTGTATACATTTTTTCGTCCCCATAAATATATGAAAACCAGTGCGCACACACACACACACACACACACACACACACACTTACACACACACACACACTACACATTACACATACATTTAATTATCCACTTATTAACCACATGATTTCACATTCTCAGGATCGTGTTCAGTGGGCCATAACAAACACACTTCACGTCTTATTTAAATACCAAGAGAACCACAATAATCAAACACACAATCACACTGGGGTCTAATAACTAGCTAACAATGATTTTAGCTCTGTTTCCCGACGTGTGCTGCGAGCTGTGGTTGATTATATGATGGTTCAGTAGTGTCTCATCAGAGGCCATTGTTTCATCTTTTTCAGCTTTCTGTGTTTAAGTGATTGTTTTGAGACGAGGCTAAAGATAAATGATAGTCTTTGGTCCTAATGGATTTTTTCAAGGATGTTTCAAACTGCGAGCTGCTTTGTTTGTCAATAATTGTAATAATGTTAAGTGCTGTTCAAGGCACGAGTTTATGCGTCCATTTCCAGACATTGTTCTATAAAAAGCGCTGTGTTTTAGTATTATGCAAATATACATATTACAGAGAGGTCTGATATTAGGTGAGTTTATCAATTGCAACTGATAAAGTTTGTTTGATAACTATATTTGTAATCCAATTATTGTTAAAGCTGGGGTTCCTAACTTTTCTTTGTCATGGATATATAACCGTTTTCTCCACACACTCAACATTATTTATGAACTTATGGACAATGGTCATCTGCCCCTAATCGACCAATGGCTCTGCTGTATTTTTTTATCATTGCATTTCCTGTGTTTGAACTGTTTGATTCTCTGATCTGAGTTGGTAAATTGACAGCTGAGTAAAGTCCTCAGAGATAACTACTGTTGTGATTTGGGGCTATAAAAAAATAAGTTGAATTGAAACAGAAAGAGTCTTGTAAAAGTAAAATGTTGTGAACAAATCAAACCAGAACACAATGTCAGGATGCAAGGATTTTGAAGGAATATGTTGTTTCTTGACGCTCTCTTTTTCTCTTGCTATTTGATCTCATAACATTTGTTTATATATACAAATGCAAATGGTTGTTGACCCCCACTTTGGGAACCACTGCGCTTGGCATCTATTCGCTTATTGAAAGAATCTGCAGATGTAATATATGCAGAAAGGATAAACTTACTGTCATGTTTATATGAATATATTGTGGCTCAACGATTAGAGAATTAGATCCAGGAGATGCATGGTGAGGGACATTTGAAGATGACATGTTCATTAATATTTGGTGATTAGACCATAGCGGAAAAACAAAGGAATTTAATATAGATTATGATCTTGTGAATCCTTCGAGGCCGAGACCTTGGTGGCGAAGGAAGCTGAGCTGATAACACTGAAAAGGCAGTGATGGGGAGGAGGAGGGTTGTTGCTCGAACAACAGCTTGGTGCTGCAAAGGACTGAGCGGCTCTGTTTAAATGCAGTCGCAAAGTGATGCAGATGAGCACAGGTGTGTGACTGTGCAGCTGAGGCTGATGGTGGTGAGCTCAGTGACTGTGTGTTGGAGGCAGCGCACCATGTTTCTAATAATTCTGAACATAATAAGTCTGAATCTGCTTTAGCGGCATAATCAACATGACAAACAAAGGCATATGTCACAAGTCTATATCTTATATTCGTGTCACATTTTAATTGAATTTTAGAAACAAATGAACATTTGAAAGACATAATTTTTTGTGGTTTCACCTGTACCTGACAACAACAGGAGAGTTCAAATATGTCATCCACACGTCCATACAGTGAGCAGGAGCAGCTAAAGGCCCCTCAGAGCCACTGCTGAGCTGTCACCCCAGGCTGACCCTGGCATTTAGCACACATCACCTGAGCTCTGACCTCTGGGGGAGAGGGGCAGAGGGGGAGAGAGGGAGGTGGCACATGCAAACACACATCACTGTCAGGCATGTGAAGGGAAGGGGACAGCAACACAAACCACATGCACAGACCGCACATGCGAAGGTTAGAGCTGTTTTATTCAACAAGAAATATGCGGGAAATCTGCTTTTGTCATTTTTACCCTTTACACATAAAGAGCACATCCAGAGGATCAGTTCTCTACATTCAGGCTGATAAAGTGCACAAACAGCCAGCGCTCTGGATTGTAGCTAAACTCCTGCCAGACGTGCATCTTTGTAAAGGGCAAGACTCACATGTTTCTCTAACCTACAAGAGAGGTCTGCATGTATACTGAGACAAGAGAGAGGTCTGCATGTATACTGAGACAAGAGAGAGGTCTGCATGTATACTGAGACAAGAGAGGTCTGTATGTATACTGAGACAAGAGAGGTCTGTATGTATACTGAGACAAGAGAGAGGTCTGCATGTATACTGAGACAAGAGAGAGGTCTGCATGTATACTGAGACAAGAGAGAGGTCTGCATGTATACTGAGACAAGAGAGAGGTCTGCATGTATACTGAGACAAGAGAGGTCTGTATGTATACTGAGACAAGAGAGAGGTCTGCATGTATACTGAGACAAGAGAGAGGTCTGCATGTATACTGAGACAAGAGAGAGGTCTGCATGTATACTGAGACAAGAGAGAGGTCTGCATGTATACTGAGACAAGAGAGAGGTCTGCATGTATACTGAGACAAGAGAGAGGTCTGCATGTATACTGAGACAAGAGAGAGGTCTGTATGTATACTGAGACAAGAGAGAGGTCTGCATGTATACTGAGACAAGAGAGAGGTCTGCATGTATACTGAGACAAGAGAGAGGTCTGCATGTATACTGAGACAAGAGAGAGGTCTGCATGAATACTGAGACAAGAGAGGTCTGCAGCTGGAGTCTGGAACGGTCTTCCTGAGGATGTGAGACTGGCTGCCTCTCTGTCAATGTTCAAATCCATGTTAAAGACTTTTCTTTTTTCCCGTGCATACAACTAGAGAATTTTATCTTTTTAACACACCTTGTTATTTATTGTTGTAACTTTTTGTGTTTTTAACTATTTTATTGTTTTTAATTACTTGTGTGATTTTTATGTTTTTAAATTACTTATGTGATTTTAATGCTTTTTAATTACATATGTGTTTTTAATTGTATTTTAATGGTGATGATTTGTGCATTGTGTGGTGTGGACTGTGAGGCGCTTTGTGTTGCCCTGTGCAGGAAAAGCGCCCTATAAATAAAGATTGATTGATTGATTGATATGTATACTGAGACAAGAGAGAGGTCTGCATGTATACTGAGACAAGAGAGAGGTCTGCATGTATACTGAGACTAGAGAGAGGTCTGTATGTATACTGAGACAAGAGAGGTCTGTATGTATACTGAGACAAGAGAGAGGTCTGCATGTATACTGAGACAAGAGAGAGGTCTGCATGTATACTGAGACAAGAGAGAGGTCTGCATGTATACTGAGACAAGAGAGAGGTCTGCATGTATACTGAGACAAGAGAGAGGTCTGCATGTATACTGAGACAAGAGAGGTCTGTATGTATACTGAGACAAGAGAGAGGTCTGCATGTATACTGAGACAAGAGAGAGGTCTGTATGTATACTGAGACAAGAGAGAGGTCTGCATGTATACTGAGACAAGAGAGAGGTCTGCATGTATACTGAAGTCCAATTATTTGTCTGAAGCTAAATTCCACACTTTTCTGTCGTTCAGCCAGTGTTGTGAATTGGAGTCGTGTCTAAAATTGGACATTCTGAATAGCAACAAAAAGCGAAGAGTTCTAAACCGACAACAAAAGGCTTCACATCACAACGGTTTCATTTGAGCTGTAATAAAGCGATGAAAGGATCCGTCTAATGAGAGGAACAAGAGAGACCTGAACCAGTGGTCTGTGCCATCTCCTGCCAAAGACAACTGACAATTAAACAACACACACACACACACACACAGGTCAAACACACACACACACACACACACACACACACACACACACACTCACACGCGCCCTTCCTGGAGATAAGGAGGCCTTTTGTCATTAGAATATTTGATGTGGAGAATGATTAGGAGTGTGTTCTTGGTTGAATGCTTTGTGTGTCTTTGTCGGGAGGTCTATTGTCATGGTCCCTGGCACACATGTCTGAGTTTACGTATCAGCCTCTGAAGGTCCTATGTTAAAGCTTTCTGTAACTGTTGTGATCTGTTCCATCATAGACAAAGCTAATGCTAATGCTAATGTGTGTGCTTGTATGTTCCAATATGTTTTATTATTATTATTGTCTACATTGGCTACATACGTACATGTGCTAGCGCGGCAAAAGGGGGCACGTGATTGGTGGTTAGCACAATGATTTTTTAGTGAGGTAGTAATGTCCACCAATTAATGGCGTTCTCATTCGTACAAAGGTCTCTCTAAGTACCATTACGGGTGGATCGGAAGAACATCCCAAAATCAGTCAAAAGTTTTTGTTTTTTTTCAATCCATGTTGCCAACTCCTGGAGAAGTCTTCTGAACTATAGTGGTCCTCGTACAAAAAGGGTTTTCACCCAGAAATTCTAGGGACCAGAGTGGAGACCTTTCCCCCACCAAAATTCACTTTGTCCCCCAACAGCAATCCAAAAGTAGAGAGTAACATTTTGGTTCCGTTCACGATTCTCTGTGATTCATCAGTGCGCAATCAAATGAAAATGTTGTCTTCATTCACACTTTGCAGGTTTTTTTCTCTGGGAAAAAAATGTGTATGTGCCCCCTGAATATGACCACCACCGCTTCCTCTCGACTGAGCCAAGACCCCTCTCTCGTCCTGGGGATTCTCCTCTGCTCCTCTATCCCCCCTGACCATCCAGCGCCCTGTCCCAACCCTCCCTTACGTTTCTACAGGACTGTCCAGGCTCACTGTTCCGACACCTTATCTAAGCATCATTAGTTATGCAAGGTTCTTTAGTAGCCTACAATTTAATCTACCAATAGATACCAATAATAGAGAATAATACATTACTTATCATAATAACAGTAATAATAATAATGATACATTTCTATCATGGCAAGGCACACCCACGTGTGTGTGAACATCCTGGGCCTGGAGTCTGGACCCACAGTTATTGAGTTTTCTATTTCTCCACTTTTTTCTTAACCCACAACTTTTGTCACGTCCGCTGTTTTCTGATACGTTTATTTCTCTGTCAATCTGTCCACATTTGGCCAGCCCGTTCATAATTCTTCTATGGTTGCACGCTTTTCTGGCTTCTAGGGTTAAGTTATGCACCCTTTGGAAGCTGAACCTGTTTGTGCTCACTAATTGAAGCCAAAGCCAAGTCCTCCTTTCAAGTCCTCCCGTGTTGGATCAGTCGTGGAGCAGTCCCGTTACAGTCCTGTTTCAGTCCTGTGACAGTCCTGGTTCAGTGCACCCTACAGCAGTATGCCAGGCTGAGGGAACGGGGCTAACAATTGACACAGACATCGGGACAGCTGAATATTTGAAAACCTGGACAGGCTTTCACAATCGGCCGCACATTGGCCTGAGATCTTTCAGAAGATCACAATCAACATGAGGGAGGCGCCTGCTGCTGCCTCACAGACTGAGCAACAGGGGCTGGGAGGTTCTCATGCTTTGAACCCGCCTCATGAGCTAGTCTTTGTGCCAAGGCCTGTTCAGTGTGGACTTTCTGACTAGATAAAGTGTTATTTAAACAGCCATTAAACCAGACTGTTTTATAAGCCGTTGCTTACATGGGTTTGTTTGTTTGTTTGTATTTAGATCCCCTTTAGCTACTAAAAAATACAGTATAGCTTTTCTTCCTGTGGTCTATGTACTCAATGTCATGTTGACATGAAAATAAACAAAAAATTAGAAATGTTATTACCAAAATACACAGTAGCTGTGTACACACACACAAACACACAAACACACACACACATGCTCACATACTCGCAGATAATAAAAGGCCTTTTGTAATTCAAATTTTTCATGTGGAGAATGATTAGGATAAAACACAGAAAAGATGATACACACACATATTATTAGCTTCAGCAAAATCAACTACATTTTCTACATTACATTTTAAACATTTAACTATTCAAACATTCAAATTCGGGGCGACAGTAGCTCAGTTGGTAGAGCATTGGCCTTTGAGCCTGAAAGTTGTGGGTTCAAGCCCACCGTAAGACCTACTTCACGACTCCCACTGATGACTGCTGTCGTTGTGTCCTTAGGCAAGACACTTGCCTAAGATCTCAGCTCCTGTGGACTCACCACCTGCAGGAGGATCAGTGAGGGGCTGGTGCTCTGTGGACTGGGTGGCATCTCTGGCCACCCCCCCGACCCAGAAATGGATTAAGGGGAAGAAAATGGATGGATGGATGGAAACATTCAAATATAAACTCTACAAACTATAAACAAAGCCAATGCCTTTCTTCAGTGAATAGAACTCTCAATCTTTTATAAAAATTGAGTGCATTGATCCAACTATGGGTGACTAGACCATAGGTCCAAAACGGGTCAGACAGGTAGTAAGTAATGAGTCTTATGGGGGAATGAGGTTATAAAACATGAAGGAAAAACAGTGCAAAATAACTGTGTAACAAGTTTAAGTTTTAAATTTAAGTTTTGTTAAGGAAAACCCCTTAAGATCAATCATCTCATTTTTGAGCATTCTAACAAGCTCTTACCATCAAAGTTTGGACTTTCTCTGGTGCTGCTCTTCCCTTCATAAAGTTGTCCTTTTCAAATATATGTTTGAAAATTTTTATATTGCTACAGATGAATGATAAACTTGCCATAGTCCATTAAAATTGGATTCCTTGGGTCCTGGGACGTTAGAAGACTGATATTGAAAGTCCAACATTTGTTTTGACTCTTGATGTGAAAATCTGACACGAGTTCAAACAACTCTGCTCCGTTGTCCCGGGATAATATAATTTTACCACTGGTCAAAAAACATGTGTCTGTGGAGTATAAAGGACCATGTCTGCATCTGCCTGAAACCAAAGCAATGCGAGTACGTGCGGCCGGCTAATTGTGCATGTGTGTGTGTGTGCGTGTGTGTGTGCGTGTGTGTGTGTGCGTGTGTGTGTGCGCGTGTGTGTATGTTTGTGTTCTTATATATGACAGATCCAGGACGTGGCGGAGCAGGGTGTGGTGTTTGCGGGCTTCCTCCAGCAGCCCGGGACTGGCCTGAGCTTGACGGGACAGTGGGACCCTGGAGAAGAGCTGTCCTCTTTACACTCCAGTCCCTCGCCCATCCACAGACACGGCTTCAGTCCCAGTGAGGGGCCCCCTAGTGGGAAATCTGAGGCTGGAGAAGGGCCCCGTGGTGAGCCGGGGTCTGTAGAGGAGGAGCTGATGAACAGCACCGGGTCAGAGACAGGTGGGCAGAGTCAGAACTATAACAACATGTGCTTTCAACTGCATTTTCAAGTTTAGGAGGAGGGTTGTGGCACAAGCTGAAAGCTGAGTGACGATGAGGCAGGACACCTTTTTGAATACAGGTTGCTGAAGGCTGATTAGAAAGAAACAGAAGTATAGTAGTAGTAGTAGTGGTAGTAGTATTAGTTGTTGTAGTCATAATGTTACTAGTAGTTCTAGATGTAGGCCATAGTAGTGGTCAGTAGTAGTTAATGGTATGAATAGTAGTAGTAGTAGAGACAGTAGTGCAAGATGTATTTTCTCCAATATTCTTCTCAAACCAATCTAAATATTTGTTTGTGAGCATTTCTGTTTTGTCGGGATAATCCACCCCCTGACAGCTGCGGTACAACAAGTTAGACAATTGAATATTGAGTGAGTTTCAGATCCCAGAGACAAAGACTCTGACTCACTATAAGCTAACACAAGCTAACACAGCCTTCATGACATCAAGAGAAACCTTTAGTCTACTCTGCTTTTCCTTTTACTTGCACTAATACACAGTACTTTTTACTTGCCTCTTATTTTGCTAAATGTTAAATTTTTATATCTATGATTATTTTCAAGAGAGAGATTTTATACTTATTATTGATGCTAGGGATTAGAGATTTTGTTTTTATTTTTATTAGTATAGCTATGGTTCACTTAACGTGTGCCGTGTGCTCCTCTTTCCTACTGTCCTATAACCTGTGATGCAACCCCGAAATTTCCCCACTGTGGGACAAATAAAGGATCTCTTAATCTTAATCTTAATCTTAATCTTCCCCAACACAGGAGCAGAGAGCAGCGAGAGTCCAGTAGAGGAGCCACCACACTGGACCGGATCAGAACCAGACCAGAACCACTCATCTCACAACAACAACCACCTCAGCTCCTTGAAGAGCCAGCAGCAAGACCAGGGCCGGGACCAGGACGGGGACCGAGACCAGGACCGGGAAAGAGACCAGGAAAGGGACAGAGACCGGGACGAGCAGAGGAGCAGCTCGTCCCCAGGAGCCAGTAAGAACTGTGTTAATAAACCTGTAATAAATTGGACACTACATTAAACGTTGATTAATATCTTTTTCAGATGCTATAAACCTAAACATTGACTATTCCCAGAATTTGGCCATATTATGGGTTATACGTGTCATTTACACACAAATGTTTTTTTTCCAGCTCAACTCATTCTACATGGAGTTATTTATATCCTCAGATACGAGCGCTGCCATTGCTCTCCCCTCAGTCACCCTCAGTCACCCTCAGTCACCCTCAGTCACCCTCAGTCACCCTCAGTCACCCTCAGTCACCAACCCCCTTCCCTGATTTTTCCTTTCTTTGTCAAGTTTTTATTTGCATCACACATTTGGGATGTTTGTGAAATTTGTGATTGGTTGTCCTGTAGTTTCATTCCGAATAAATACATTTGTTTTGTTATTTGGAAGAAAAAAGTTTTGTCTCTTATCAGTTCATAATTTAATTAATTGAATAAACAGTATCAATAATTATTTGACTTCTCGACCAAGTGAAAAAAATTGATGACAAGTGGACTATTGAAATGATGGATATTGACAGGCTGCTTTATACTGTACTTTCAGTAGATTAAATGCTTTCAGAATGTGATGTATTATACACAGGTCAGCTACGGCCAACAGGCTGTCCAGTAAATGTAATGGTCTTGTGATTGAAAGTAGGAAGTAAGGTCATACATAAATTATATAAATATACATTGAAAATAATATATCACTTGTTTTGTCTCTGCCTGTATATCTATCAAAAAATATGAATCTGTCCATCACTTCTCAACCTGACCTTTATAAAGTCACTTTACTGCCCATCATACGCCACTTTACTTCACTGTACTGCTGTCACCTTACATTGTGTGCACCATGTGCACTTGTATATTGTAAATAGTAACTGTAACTCTATTTTAAATTTTAATTTATTCCTTAGAAGTGTTTTTTATTCTTTATTTTTTATTAACTCTTTTTGACTGTTGCACTGAGCCAAAGCAATTTCCAAGTCTGTGACTTCCTGTTACTTACGTGGCAATAAAAATGATTCTGATTCTGATTCTGATTTATCTCTCTGTATGTAATATACTGTAATGTTGTGCTGTGCAGGGTGGCAGCTGTTCGCTCTCTACAACCATAGTGAGGAGTCTGACCCCTCCCTGCGCTTCTACTCCCTGAGGGTCCCCCTCCAGGTGCACCGGGAGGCCGGCCTCATCACGCAGCTGGACGGGCACTGGCTGGACCACATGACCCAGCACTTCAGCAGCGGCGCTCAGCTCGTGGACGGCTTTTTCCACGTGGAGGAGGAGAGAGGTGGGTGACTCCAGAGAATGTATGCATAAAGCTGGGGTACCTCACTTTTGAGTCAAATCATTCTGTTGGTTCCAACTGAAAGTGTTGTAAAATTAAACTGTTATGAACAAATCAGAGGACATCATGCTGCCACCATCTTTCGCACTGTAAGATAGAGCCCTTTGATATGCTCAGACTTTAGTACATACTTAATTTTCTTATGGTTTGAATTTTAGGTTTCCCTGCTTCAAAATTATAAGTACATTAGATCATGTTAAAATTTCCTGTTATTAGATCAAATTTAACACAGAACCGATTGAATTGTTTACAACATGAAAGAATAATAGAGTACTCAAAGAACCTGACTCTATACAGTGTTCCTCCCAAACCGGTCTGCCCACTCTGGTCCCAGTCTACAGATGGGTGCTGAGCAGATGGAGTCATGTAGCGTTTTACAAAGGGCTGCGTGATGTATTATGGAACCATAATTGTAAATAAAATATCTTTATAACTCACTGTATCAGCTCACCACAACTTGTTTACTTTAGCATTTGATTTTTACACAGGCTCAACTGCAGTCGCATTTCATTTCTGCAGCACAATTAAACGTTCTTGCTTTGTTTCTTGCTTTCATCTCACATAACGAAACCAAAACGATTAATGGCTTTTCCCTGTGCTCTTAAATGCATCTGCTGCCCTCAGTAAGTGACCGCTTTCACTGGAGAAATGTTGCATCAGTGTCATATAAGTGTCATATCAGTCTAATGTCTGGTTGACTGTGGCCCTGTGCTCCTCAGACAGCGGCGTGGCCTTGGTGGATGGAATCTTCATCTTCCAGAGCTCTGCAGAGTCGGTGAGCGCCTCGTACGACGCCATCGTGGTGGAGCAGTGGACCGTGGTGGACGTGAGTGACCAGCCGCATGTGTTTCAGAACAGTCGATCAATCATTATTTGTACAGCACTTTTTCTACACACGGTGGGCGGCACTCACGCTTCTCAGCAAGAAGGTCCTGGGTTCAAATCCCAGTCAGAACAGGGCCTTTCTGAGTGGAGTTTGCATGTTCTCCCTGTGTCAGCTCCGGTTTCCTCCAGGTGCTCCGGTTTCCCCACCACTAAAATCATGCACAATAGGTATGAATGTGATGAGGGAGTGAATGGATGGTGTTTGGTCGGAGGCTTTGATGCGCCAGTGTGTTCGGCGACTCGCTTCCGTCATCACCGCGAGAGAATGAAAAAAGTATCTGAACTTTGAAAAATTGTAAAGCGCTTTGTGTGACCTTGGTCTGTAAAATGCGCTATATAAAAAAACATTACTTAGTTACTTACATGTCACGTTTAAACAAGGAAGGACCCAAAAGCAGAATAATATAATTTACTCAACGGCACAAGAAAATAAATCCAGAAGTAAAAACCAGGGAAAAGACATGGCAAGAAAACAACAATGGACCAACAACAAGAGGACAGGAGCTCAGGGTATCAAAATAAAACCAGATTTATAACCCAGAAAGTCCACACTATGACAACACAGGACAACACAAAGCGCTTCACAGTCCACATCACATAAAACAAACATCAAAATCACCATTAAAAACACAATTAAAATCACACAGGTATTTCCAAACATTAAAACATTAACATAGTTTTTCAATATATGCTCATGATCATTTTACGAGACAGAAAATACGCGGCTCACAGGATACATAAAGAGACGCAAGGATCTTCTGCACACTTTGTTGTCAACATCGCCATTTGTCCAGAGAAACTGACGTAACTCATTTGGAGGCAATACTTGTTTTAAAGCTAGTTCGGAAAACAACGTCATAGTGTAAAGGCCGCATCATAGTGTATCAGCTTTAAGACAGGAGCTTTAAGACAGAAGGGATGGGGGTACGAATGGGAATGAAATGAAATGTGCAACAGCTACAGTATCTCTCTCCAGGGGAATCACTGGAACCAAGTTTGGGTCAAATGGAGACAAAGATAAGGTTTAGAATCTAAGAAAATGAATCGATAATCAAAGTAATCTTTTATCAATAATAATACAAAATACATTTTATTTAGGCAATTTTCTCAATACTAGATGCAGGTACATTTGTATGTAAGGGCAGTGGTATTACAGCCCTAGTTGCCATTTCAAATATATATCAGGTTTGAGACGGAAACATTTAGACCAAGGGTGTCAAACCGGTTCCAGAAAGGGCCGGTGTGGGTGCAGGTAGGATCACACCCGACTCCACCCATTTCCTCAAATTCTCAAGTTAATACTGAACTCACCTGCGGAGATGGGCGGAGTCTGGTGTGCTCTGACTTAGGTTGGAACTAAAATCTGCAGCCACACCAGCCCTTTGAGGACCGGTTTGACACCGGTTTGACATGGCGCTAAGGTGAAGTGAGCTGTCCCACCGTAGCGGACTTTCTACTCAAGGTTTAGGGTCTGTGAGAGATGGGACTAGGGCCGTTCGTGCTGACAGTGGTGAAAATCCGGGACATATATGGATATTCATTAACGTTGGTGGACATTGGTTGTCTGCCCCCAATGGTGTCTTTTATCATTACATTTCCTGTGTTTGATCTGTTTGATTGTCTGATCTGTCGAAGGCAGGATCATGTCTGTGTGAGTGTCACTTTAATGAGCAAAAGGGATTATTTCTCTTAATTGTTTATTCTGCTCAAATTGAAAGGGTATGAGAGTGCATGCATTATATAATTCTATCATAATTGAGCACATAATGACCCGTCCTCCTCCTCCTCTTCTGCTGTTCATATGAGCTTCACATTGTGTCCTAATATGTCACTCAGAGCAATCATGATGTAACCTCATGTAAGATACAGCCCCAGTCCGACCAGCAGGACCGTCCAGGTGCAGGTCCAGTCCAGAGACCGGAGATGACGGACAGGACCCGCACTCTCGCTGAGCCAAATCACATGCAGTACAATAACAGCATGTACAATACCATATGTGTACTTTTTCTCCCTTTTACATGTGTTAAAACATTGTTCCTGAGATGAAAGCTTCTGCTCCCCCGCACTGCACCTGTGTACGTCAGCTCCGTGGTTCTAAGCATGTTTTAAGTGGTGCAGGTTCTGGATTAGTCAGAGTTGGTATATGCCATGCGTGACCCAAAAGTAATCTCAGTCTCTATTTAGGTAAAGAATAATGTCTTGGTGCAACATGAGCAAATGTATTTGTTCTTCTGAGAAATAATTGCAAGGTACGAGAGAGCATTGAGGTGCATTGAGAGTGTACATGAGGTATAACAGGCCATGGTTTATCAATCTGCCATAAATGTTGCAAGTTTATCAGAAGAACACAAAATATTTTCTGAATAAAAGGGAAAATATATATAATAGTGGGTGGAGAGGTCCTTCCTAAAGTGGAGGATTTCAAGTATCTCGGGGTCTTGTTCACGAGTGAGGGAAGAATGGAGCGTGAGATTGACAGGCGGATCGGTGCAGTGTGCGAAATGATGCGGTCGCTGTTTCGGACCGTCGTGGTGAAGAGGGAGCTGAGCCGAAAGGCACCTATGGTCATGAGCTTTGGGTAATGACCAAAAGAACGAGATCGCGGATACAAGCGGTCGAAATGAGCTTCCTCCGCAGAGTGGCTGGGCGCTCCCTTAGAGATAGGGTGAGGAGCTCAGTCACACGGGAGGAGCTCGGAGTAGAGCTGCTGCTCCTCCACGTCGAGAGGAACCAGTTGAGGTGGCTCGGGCATCTGTTCCGGATGCCTCCTGGACGCCTCCGTGGGCAGGTGTTCCGGGCACGTCCCACCGGGAGGAGACCCCGGGGGAAGACCCAGGACACGCTGGAGGGTCTATGTCTCTCAGCTGGCCTGGGAACGCCTTGGGGTCCCCACAGACGAGTTGGAGGAAGTGTGTGTGGATAGGGAAGTCTGGGCCTCTCTGCTTAGACTGCTGCCCCCGCGACCCGGCAATGGATGAAGCGGAAGAAAATGGATGGATGGATGGATGGTCAATTGTCCACTGATCATGATCACGGTAAAAATCACATGATGTGGGTGTGTGTGTCCAGGGCGTGGTGGTGAAGGCAGACTACATCCCTCTGCTTCAGTCCTTGGCTCCGTTCGGCTGGAGACTCATGTGTGTCCTGCCCACTCCCATCGTCAAGACCAACAGGTGACAAACATCGCCATGCAAATGTATTTGTATTGCACACATCAAACAACTTCGGGAGAGTTAGACAAAACTCCTACACATCTTAGAAACTTGCTCCAGGCTCCAAACCAGGCTCTGTGCACTTGGTTCCAGACAGAATAATTGAGTCAAAGATAACAATTGAAGCTTTTATATCCACTAAGATTCAGGTCTAATGTAATATGATTCATTGTACCATTGGCACAGCATGGTGGCAGAGTGGTAAGCACTTTCACTTTGGTTCAAATTTCAGATCCGGTAGGATCAATAAGTGAAATCCTCCAGCTTCGGTCCGGATCACTGGCCCTGGCTGAAGGCTTGTGGGCTGGGTGGAATGCAGAGGCCACTAACTTACCTTGCTCTTGGTGTTTTGTCTGAGATGTTTTGTGTTTGATCTGTAGAATGTAGAATGTGGCCCTGTCTTGGCCCTGTCTTGGCCCTGTCTTCCCCGTCTCCTGCTCAGACAGACGGTTCCAGACCTATTGTGGAACTATATGTGACTGTGTTTTGTTTGTCCCATGTTTGAAGAAGTCGGGAAATAAATCAAGCTTTATCTCCACTGTTGAAGACGTTGTTAAATAAAAAATAACTGTAGATACTACTTTTTGCATAACAGAAATATATTATAATGACTGTGACGTGTGCCATTTCGAAGCCATTCTGTGCCCTCTCTGATGATTGTGATGCTGTGAAAAACAACAAAACACTTTCCTAACATCCATCTCAAACAAATGGAACAATAATATGTCTAATAATAGTGTCTTATAATATGTACGTATACGCTCGTGCTCATGTCCCTTTAGCTTTAGGGCAAATTTGCCAAAAGCAGATTATTGGACAGATCTGAGTCTGCAGCTGTCAGCACCAGCACTTTGAGTTTGTCACTTCTCACATGTGGCTGCTTTTAGTACAAGCCCGTCACTATTGACAACGGTAAACAAGCGTGAGTGTCACATCAGAGACAGCCTGCTGACCCCCCTCTCATCTCTGATGCAGCCTGTGCAGCTGTCACTGAGCGATGTTACAAAGTACAAGAATACAGAGTACGCTACAAAAACGGACTCTAACCAGCTCCTCTTCCAAACCCGATCAGCCGCTTTCTCCGTGTGAGCAGAGGAGGCTTTCAATGGCGTCTCATAACTTTGAAAAAGATAATAATATGGATAAAAAGCCAGACTGGCCTATTCACTATGACGCTACTTTTCACTGTCCATTTTTAATTATATGATTTTGCTTTCAACTTTATACATTTTGTAAGGCGACCTTGAGTGCTTAGAAAGGCTCCACATACTTACAATCTATTATTAATAATATTACTAATACCCATACACACATTTCCAGTCACTACATCTACCCAGAAAGAGCATGCTCAGTGTCCCTTTTTATCAAATTAAATCAACTAAACTAAATGTTGGTACAGTAAACACAATTTATTTTAGTAAAGCAATGTTTTTTGAGGGTGTGGCCTCTACGTATATACATTTTTTATATAAGTAAGGCTTTCCGGCGTGCTCTTAAACGCCTCTGCTGGCCTCCTCTCAGTAGGATCTGAGTTTCACCAAACCAACTGTGAACCAACTTCACTGGTTTGTGCAGGTTTGTGGGAGCGGATCCCTTTCACAATGTGGGCCTCCCTTAGGCTTCTCACTTTTCTCTCCAGTTTTTATATTGAGACGTTTCTTGACGATCAGGAATATTTAAGGACATTTACGGACATTAGGTATCCACTCCCGATGGACCTATGGCTCCTGTGTTTGTTATTGCATTTCCTGTGTGCGAACTTGGCAGCTTTGTGAAGTCCTCGAGGCGACTGCTGTTGTGATTTTGGGCAATGCAAAAATAAATGTAATGTAATTGCTGTAATTCTAAACACGCTCTATGGAAGAGGATGGAGGTGCGTAGAGCTGATGTCGCTGCTCTGTGTGCTTTGTGTGCAGTGACGGCAGCCTGTCCACAAAGCAGATCCTGTTCCTGCAGCGGCCCGTCCTGCCGAGGAGGAGGCGGGACTTCAAGGTAAAGCCGCAACCACAACACACCACCACCACACTCAGAAGATGGCATTCAAATGTGGGGAACCATGTGTGGGAAGCCAGGTCTCTGTAAAGAAAGTGTCCTTGACTAAAGCTGGTGAACCTGGGATAACCTTTTTTTTTTCATAAATATAAAATTGTGTTTATTATTAAGAGTATTGATGCCATCTTATTGGAAAACATTTATACTTGTACTTTTGGACTTATTGGGTTGAGAGCTGATTTTAAGATAAGATAAGATAAACCTTTATTAGTCTCACAGTGGAGAAATTTCAGTGTCATTGTTGCACATTACAGCAGAGAAAGGAAATAAGAGCACTCAGATTGCACACATCAAAGTCTATTATTTAAGGTAATAGACAATAAAATTAAGATAAGAATAAAATAAAATAAATGAGATAAACTCTGGGCCATAATTGCACTTGGTTGGGAAGTATTTACAGATGTCTATATTATACATTAGAAGCGGAGAATATGAGAATAGGCAAGGCAAGTTTATTTATATAGCACAATTCATACACAAGGCAATTCAAAGTGCTGAACAAAACAAGAAAGCATTAAAATCATAAATTATCACAGAACATTAAAAAGAAAGATAAAAATATAAAATCCCTCAGTTGTATGCACAGTTAAACAGAACTGTCTTTAACCTGGTTTTAAACATTGTCAGAGAGGAGGCCTGTCTCACATCTTCAGGAAGACTGTTCCAGATTTTAGCAGCATGAATCTGAAAAGCAGCCTCCCCATGTTTAGTTCTGACTCTGGGCACTAACAGGAGTCCAGTCCCTGTGCTCCTCAGAGTCCGGGCTGGTTCATATGGGACTAACATGTCACTAATATATTTTGGTGCGAGGCCATGGAGAGACTTGTACACAAGCAGAGCTGTTTTAAAGTCTATTCTCTGAGCCACAGGAAGCCAGTGCAGAGACCTGAGGACTGGACTAATGTGGTCGTACTTCCTGGTTCTTGTCAGGACTCGAGCTGCTGCATTTTGAATGTACTGCAGCTGTTTTACAGCCTGTTTGGACAGACCTGTGAGCAGGCCATTGCAGTAGTCTAACCTACTGGAGACAAATGCATGGATAAGAATCTCCAAGTCTGCTTTAGACACTATGTTTTTGATCCTGGCAATGTTTTTTAGATGGTAAAAAGCTGCTGATGTTACTGATTTGATGTGGCTATTAAAATTTAAGTCTGAGTCCAGTATTACCCCTAGATTTCTGACCTTGTTTGAAGGTTTTAGGGAGAGACTGTAGGTGACAGATGACGCTCTCTCTTTGTTTCTGGGGACCAAAGACAATCATTTCAGTTTTGTCTGCGTTTAGCTGAAGGAAGTTGTTTTGCATCCACTCACTGATCTGTTGGATACAGTGAAGGAGTGAGTCCACTGGTCCATGTTCTCCTGCAGTCAGTGAGACATAGATCTGAGTGTCATCTGCATAGTTATGATAGGAAACTTTGTTTCTGCGTATTAACTGACCTAACGGCAGCATGTAGAGATTGAACAGAAGAGGTCCCAGGATCGACCCCTGTGGGACTCCACAGGTCAGGGCCATATGATCTGAGACACAGTTTCCAATCTCCACAAAGTACTTCCTGTCTTCAAGGTAAGACCTAAACCAACTTAGGGCGGTGCCAGTGACGCCAACCCAGTCCTCTAGTCTCTGTAAGAGGATCTCATGGTCGACGGTGTCAAAGGCAGCACTTAGATCTAACAAGATTAAGATTGAGACTTTGCCTGCGTCAGTGTTCAGCCGGATATCGTTTGTAACCTTAACGAGAGCAGTCTCAGTGCTGTGGTGGGGTCTAAAGCCGGACTGAAACATATCAAATGAGTTGTTGATTATAAGAAATCTAGTAAGCTGTGGGTAGACAACTTTCTCAAGGACTTTCCCCATAAATGGCAGATTTGAGATGGGACGTTAGTTGTTAAGTACCGTAGCATCGAGACTGCTCTTTTTTAGCAGGGGCCTGATGACTGCAGTTTTCAGGGCCTTTGGGAATATTCCAGAATGAAGGGACATGTTTACTATCTGTGTGAGTGAAGGTAACAGACTGCTCAGAACAGACTTCAGAAATCTAGTGGGTAGTACATCCAGGCTGCATGTGGAGGAGCTCAAACTGGAGATTATCTCTTGGACAGTTTTATCATTTACAGGTGCAAAGTGAGTTAGCTCAGAGAGCCTTTCTGGCTGTTGGATGGTTATCTGTGGATTGGAGACAATGGCGCTTTTGATGCCTTGAACCTTGTCATCAATCAATCAATCAATCAATCAATCATTTATTGGGCATTTGGGCATTTAGAAGACAAAAGAAATAATAATGTGAAGAAGAAAAAAAATAAAAAAATAGCCCAAAAGGGAGTTGGCAGAAGCTGAAACAGCTTATCTGGGCCTACCCCCTATTGCCAATCAAATGCATAACACTTACACATACATACCTTGATATATACATAATTCACATACGTACATTAATATAATACACATTTATCCATACACATATAATTGAAAATCATCATTGAGATCATTGAAAAAATTAGCAAACTCATTGCATTTACGTTTGGAAGTAAGCTCTAATGGCATTTGAACAGGGGGGTTTGTTAATCTATTAACTGTTGAGAACAGAACACGCAGATTGTTGCTGCAGCCTTCAATCATTTCAGAAAAATACCTTTCTCTCGTACTACGTAGCACCCGGTTAAACTCGCACAACTTATCTTTGAAGATCTCGTAATCTACCTGGAGGTTGGACTTGCGCCACTTCCGCTCGGCCCTCCGGAACTTTCTCTTTTGTGCCCTGACCGAGTCTGCTTTAGCCCACGGCGCCTTCTGCTTATTTTTCACTATTTTAACCTTCACAGGGGCAACGGTATCCAGAACATTCAAAACACTAGAGGTGACAGAGTTAAACAGTTCATCTACAGTAGAATACGATGCATTCTCAAAGTTTATCATTCCCATAAATAGTTCACTCGTATTTTCATTTATGCGCCTTCTTCGAACAGTTGCAGAGTCCACTGGTGGTTTGTTAGTGAAACACATGTCAAAAAAAACACAGAAATGATCCGAAAGAGCAACAATGACCACGTTTACATTTGAAATAATCACCCCCTTTGTAACTAACAGATCTAGAGTGTGCCCTCTGCTGTGGGTGGGGCCACTTACGTGCTGAGTGAGATCAAAGGATTCAAGTACAGAACTCAGCTCATTTGCATTTCTGTCATCAACATTATCCACATGAATATTAAAATCACCTGTAATAACCAAACTATCAAAATCTGTGCATACAACTGAAAGCAACTCGGTAAAATGATCAATAAAACTGTGACATGACTGCGGTGGCTTGTATAGGACAATGAAGAGTATTGGAGGAGATTGTTTTTGTTGTATTCTAAAAGACACATATTCAAATGACAAAAACTTCCCAAGAGACATTCTATGGGAGACAAAGTGGTCTCTAAAAATGGTAGCTAAGCCTCCTCCTTTTTTGTTTTCCCGTATTTCAGATTCAAACTTGAAATTTGGTGGTGATGCTTCTATTAAAACTGCATTTTCTGAATTTTGGTCAAGCCAAGTTTCAGCCATGAACATAAGATCAAGATTATGAGAAGAAATAAAATTATTAATTAAAAAAGACTTGTTACAAAAAGATCTGACATTAAGCGTAGCAAGTTTCAAAGTTTCAGTATCAGCGGTTAGAATATGAGCAGAATAAACATCAGAAATAATATCAGCAGGTAAAGTGAGTTGAAAGGCAGAAATATCAGATATGTAATAATGCAGTAGTACTGATAACAGGTAAAGTGACTAGTGAATTATCAGTGACTGATTAGCAGTTCCCGTTACACATTCTCGTTGTACAGTCTGATAGCAGCAGGAAGGAAAGACCTACGGAACCTCTCCTTCACACAGCGAGGGTGAATAAGTAAAGTCACTGAAGCTGCTCTCCAGAGCAGAGAGAGTGTCCTGCAGGGGGTGACCGTCATGGTCCAGCATAGATGTTAGTTTGCTCAGGACCCTCCTGTCCCCCACCTGCTGCACTGTGTCCAGGGAGCAGCCCAGGACTGAGCTGGACTTCCTGATGACCTTATCCAGCTTCCCCCTGTCCCTCTCTGTGATGCTGCTGTTCCAGCAGACCACACCGTACAAGATGGCTGATGCCACCACAGAGTCATAGAAGGTCTTCAGGAGTGGCCCCTGCACTCCAAAAGACCTGAGCCTCCTCAGCAGGTAGAGGCGGCTCTGGCCCTTCTTGAAGAGGGCGTCTGTGTTATGAGTCCATTCCAGTTTGTGGTTCAGATGAACACCCAGGACTTGTAAGAGTCCACTCTCTCAATGTCCTTTCCCTGGATGTTCACTGGGACTGGGGCGGCAGAGTGACGTCCGCAGAAATCCACCACCATCTCCTTGGTCTTTCTCCTTACTTTTTCACTTTTTTGTCTGAAAAAGCTGATCAGACTGTCTCAAAATGTTTCAAGTGCTGTAGGAACTTGTTAGATTGCTACTTCCTATAGAAACTACATAGATCGCTTTTATTTATTGTTGTGATATAAACTGAATCCACGCCAACACTGAATCTCCACAGATCAGGTCCTGCAGCCTCGTAATAGAAACAAGAGCCTCACTTACATATGTATTTTGAACGCACCTCGTAATACTACCATTCCAAAAGGGAATACTTGGTTACAAATAAATCCCAGTCCTTTCTGCAAACTCCGCCCTGGTTTTATTTTAGTCATGGCAACCAGCACCAATGTTGTCTTCCCTATCATCTACACCCTTTGCTCATTCCTCAACAAACACGTAAACTTAAGTTCACACACACAGACAGATATAAAACCGACCTAAAGAGCATGCACAAACACACACAACCACTCTCCCAATCTGTTCTATTGTGTTTTGTTGTCATTTGGCTTTAAACGACATTTGCTTAGGCCCACATGGATGAAATCTTGCTCCAACTCGCTCTGGCTCCGATTATTGAAAAGTAAACTCCTCTCACTTAGTAACAGTTTTTGTCACACTCACCATTTTGGGTTAAAAATGTTTGGTATTTTTGTAAATCCAGATATAAGCCATATAAGGATCCATTCATGCATCCATTCATTGATGCATGAAACTCCAGCTTGCCTTAGCAACCATGTTAGTGTGGCAAGCTGGACTTGGCCACCATATTTCTGTCCAGTAGAGGGCGCCTACGCCCAGTATAAATAGCCTAGATTTACGTCTTTTGTTTACCTCTGCACTTCCGTCTCTTGTGTGTCGTCGCGCCAGCCCTTGTCCTGCTCCAGGTAGTAGTTTTAGTGTCAATTTTAATTGTAAGATTCAGCCACTAATGTTGACTTGTTGTTGTAGTGCCGCGGTGTGGCATTGTGCCCCGCGAGTCCTCCTTGTGCACGTCCACACTGTCCAGTCGCTTTGGTGTCTGGCCGCCCTCATTGCTGGGGTCCGAGTGCGTCGTAGCCGGCTGTGGGTCTGGGCCTGTAAACCGCTACTCGTCAAGAGTGCGCGCTCAGTGTTGGCTGTGGAAATGTAGGTCTTAGCTGCACACACTGACGGCATTGTGGTTATGATAATTTAACTCTACTTTAATTCGTAGGCTGAGGACTGGCCACACCGCGGCCCACCGCTGTTTCTCCTGCTGTCCCTTGTTTCTCTCCTTGTTCTTCCGTGTTTCTGGTCGTGTGTTCACCTGTGCTCCTGAGTCCTTCGTGACAGGATGATGTGTGCTTGTGAATATAAATGAAATGAAATGTAACAGAACCCATTTGAATGAAAAGAACTGACCTAAACATAACATAATAAATCCTAGTAACGTAATGTCTGTCTATGCCTCTTTATGATTTACGAACCTGTGCGCCTTAGAGCGCTTTATATTTTATTTTGGGCACTTTGCCCTGGCGTTGCTGGTTTTTCTTTCTTTTATTTAATTTGTCATTATTTTCGAAGCCTTCAGGGCCTCCACCTTGCCACACTTGGCGTTCGCTGGCAGGATAATCATTAAAATGAGGCATTTTCTCTTAGTACAGCTAATTTCAGTAGCATTAGCTTTTTGGTTTATGTGACTTAAAACCTGTCATTGTTTTGTCTTGTGTTTATTATTTGTCTTTGTTTTTTGATGTGCACTTTTTGTGTGGTGTTTTTTTGATTTGTGCATTCTTTGTTTTGAAAATGTAAACTCGGATAAGAAATGATATGGCTAGAACACTCGCATATGAATATTTGCTAAGCTACTGCCTATTGCTGTAATGTGTCAAATTACACTTTTAAATTCTGTGTTTTGTTTTGTGAAGGAGAAGCAGCGGTGGTTGAAGCAGTATAGTTGTGGCTTGATGGGACGGGAGTTCAGATGGTCACCTAGTATGAAGCCTCGTGGATCCTGCACACCTGTAATTTAAGTCTCCTGTGGTGTAATCCCGGACTGCGGTGTAGTGAGATGAAAGATTCCTCACGTAGCGCTTAAGGCGCACCCGTTGTTCACCTGTGTGGCCAGGAGCACTTCTGGTGCAGCAGGTAGGCTTGGTTTGAGAAACTTGCATTGGACTTCCTAAGCCTTCAGGGCCTCCTTTTCTGGCCTTCACGGCAATAGAATTGAAACATTGGTTGTCTCATTGCGTTATCAGTAGTAGAAACTGACTTTTTAAATTGTGTTTTTAAGCTTGGGGCTGCAGGGTCTTGTAGTGGCTCAAACCCACCTAGACCAGCTATGTGTCTCTTAGTGGCTCAAACCCACAGTCCTGGTTTTTAGCTTTTAGATGCGTGTGTCATGACCGGTCATTGTATGAGTGATAGCGCTATATTTGAGAGTTGCGTGTGAGTTTAGTTGACGTCGGGGCGTCGTCAAAACTTTGGGGGGATGAATGTGGCAAGCTGGACTTGGCCACCATATTTCTGTCCAGTAGAGGGCGCCTACGCCCAGTATAAATAGCCTAGATTTACGTCTTTTGTTTACCTCTGCACTTCCGTCTCTTGTGTGTCGTCGCGCCAGCCCTTGTCCTGCTCCAGGTAGTAGTTTTAGTGTCAATTTTAATTGTAAGATTCAGCCACTAATGTTGACTTGTTGTTGTAGTGCCGCGGTGTGGCATTGTGCCCCGCGAGTCCTCCTTGTGCACGTCCACACTGTCCAGTCGCTTTGGTGTCTGGCCGCCCTCATTGCTGGGGTCCGAGTGCGTCGTAGCCGGCTGTGGGTCTGGGCCTGTAAACCGCTACTCGTCAAGAGTGCGCGCTCAGTGTTGGCTGTGGAAATGTAGGTCTTAGCTGCACACACTGACGGCATTGTGGTTATGATAATTTAACTCTACTTTAATTCGTAGGCTGAGGACTGGCCACACCGCGGCCCACCGCTGTTTCTCCTGCTGTCCCTTGTTTCTCTCCTTGTTCTTCCGTGTTTCTGGTCGTGTGTTCACCTGTGCTCCTGAGTCCTTCGTGACAGGATGATGTGTGCTTGTGAATATAAATGAAATGAAATGTAACAGAACCCATTTGAATGAAAAGAACTGACCTAAACATAACATAATAAATCCTAGTAACGTAATGTCTGTCTATGCCTCTTTATGATTTACGAACCTGTGCGCCTTAGAGCGCTTTATATTTTATTTTGGGCACTTTGCCCTGGCGTTGCTGGTTTTTCTTTCTTTTATTTAATTTGTCATTATTTTCGAAGCCTTCAGGGCCTCCACCTTGCCACATTAGCAACAGGTTGGTTTGCATCTGCCCCAGTCCTACACGGTCTATCACTTAAGATAAGATAAGATAAGATATACTTTATTAATCTCACACAGGAGAATTTTACATGTCACATTTGGCATGGATAGAAACACTCAAGATTGTGCGAAAGTAAGAAATGTGCAAACATGTTAAATGCAGGATATATTTTGTACAAAAAAGTGGCAAATTAGAAAGTGGCAAACAAGAAACAGTGTCAATAGTAGTGCAGGTTTTTCAGTCTTAATGCAGTAATTTGAAGTGACTTATTGTACAGTCTGACAGCAGTGGGGATAAAGGCCCTGCAGTAGCGTTCCTTCTTACACTGAGGGTGCCTCAGTCTTCCACTGAAGGAGCTCCTCAGCTCCTCTACAGTCCTGTGCAGTGGGTGGGAGATATTGTTCATGATGGAGGTGACTTTGACTAGACCCTCCTGTCCCTCACCTCCTATACAGAGTCCAGGGAGCAGCCCAGAGTGGAGCTGGCCCTCCTGACCAGCTTGTTCAGTCTGTTTCTGTCCCGCTCTGTGCTGCCCGGAGCCCAGCACACGACAGCATGATGTATGGCTGAGGCTACGACAGAGTCATAAAAGGTCCTGAGCAGAGGCCTGCTCACTCCGAAGGACCTCAGCCTCCTCAGAAGGAAGAGGCGACTTTGGCCCTTCTTGTGCAGAGCATTGGTGTTATGAGACCAGTCCAGTTTATTGTTAATGTGAACACTTGAAAGCAGATCGAGATGAAACTCAATTTCCTGCTTTGGATCCAATCTAATTGATCTTGATTCTGACATAAAAATAGATCTGTTATAGACTACCATTTACATTTACAAACATAAAGCAATGTCGGCCGACCAGCAGCAAAATGAAGCACGGTGGAGACTACACAATTATCTGGACAAGTGTGGTGTAAAACCTTGTAAATCCTCTGGTGTGATTGCAGATGAACCTCAAAAGCCGGAACAAGGCCAGGCGGAGCGGCGCCACAAGGGACCTGTGTGAGGAGAGCTGCCCATCGCTGTTGGAGATGGAGCGGCTGCCCAGACGCCCAGAGGAAGCCCCCTCCCAGCTGCAGACCCAGCACCAGCTCCAGCAGCACCAGCACCAGGCCAAAGTCTTCTTCCTGTCCCCCCAGAGCAGAGAGGAGGAGACGGATGTGGACGCCATTCACACCACAAAACAACAATATCTAGGTGAGTTCAAGAGTGTGAGCCTCATGTATACTGATGTATACTGAGACAAGAGAGGTCTGCATGTATACTGAGACAAGAGAGGTCTGCATGTATACTGAGACAAGAGAGAGGTCTGCATGTATACTGAGACAAGAGTGGTCTGCATGTATACTGAGACTAGAGAGAGGTCTGCATGTATACTGAGACAAGAGAGGTCTGCATGTATACTGAGACCAGAGAGAGGTCTGTATGTATACTGAGACAAGAGGTCTGTATGTATACTGAGACTAGAGAGAGGTCTGCATGTATACTGAGACAAGAGAGGTCTGCATGTATACTGAGACTAGAGAGAGGTCTGCATGTATACTGAGACAAGAGAGGTCTGCATGTATACTGAGACCAGAGAGAGGTCTGTATGTATACTGAGACCAGAGAGAGGTCTGTATGTATACTGAGACAAGAGAGGTCTGTATGTATACTGAGACTAGAGAGAGGTCTGCATGTATACTGAGACTAGAGAGGTCTGCATGTATACTGAGACAAGAGTGTGAGCCTGCATGTATACTGAGACAAGAGTGTGAGCCTGCATGTATACTGAGACCAGAGAGAGGTCTGTATGTATACTGAGACCAGAGTGGTCTGCATGTATACTGAGACAAGAGAGGTCTGCATGTATACTGAGACAAGAGAGGTCTGCATGTATACTGAGACAAGAGTGTGAGCCTGCATGTATACTGAGACAAGAGTGTGAGCCTGCATGTATACTGAGACCAGAGAGAGGTCTGTATGTATACTGAGACCAGAGTGGTCTGCATGTATACTGAGACCAGAGAGGTCTGCATGTATACTGAGACTAGAGAGAGGTCTGCATGTATACTGAGACTAGAGAGAGGTCTGCATGTATACTGAGACAAGAGAGGTCTGCATGTATACTGAGACTAGAGAGAGGTCTGCATGTATACTGAGACTAGAGAGAGGTCTGCATGTATACTGAGACAAGAGAGGTCTGCATGTATACTGAGACTAGAGAGAGGTCTGCATGTATACTGAGACTAGAGAGGTCTGCATGTATACTGAGACTAGAGAGAGGTCTGCATGTATACTGAGACTAGAGAGGTCTGCATGTATACTGAGACAAGAGAGGTCTGCATGTATACTGAGACAAGAGAGGTCTGCATGTATACTGAGACAAGAGTGTGAGCCTGCATGTATACTGAGACAAGAGTGTGAGCCTGCATGTATACTGAGACCAGAGAGAGGTCTGTATGTATACTGAGACCAGAGTGGTCTGCATGTATACTGAGACAAGAGAGGTCTGCATGTATACTGAGACTAGAGAGAGGTCTGCATGTATACTGAGACTAGAGAGAGGTCTGCATGTATACTGAGACAAGAGAGGTCTGCATGTATACTGAGACCAGAGAGGTCTGCATGTATACTGAGACAGGAGTGTGAGCCTGCATGTATACTGAGACAAGAGTGTGAGCCTGCATGTATACTGAGACAAGAGAGAGGTCTGTATGTATACTGAGACCAGAGTGGTCTGCATGTATACTGAGACAAGAGAGGTCTGCATGTATACTGAGACTAGAGAGAGGTCTGCATGTATACTGAGACCAGAGAGGTCTGCATGTATACTGAGACCAGAGAGGTCTGCATGTATACTGAGACATGAGTGTGAGCCTGAGCATGCAGTGTTAGGAGAAACTGATGTATTGCTTTTTACTGTAATATGGTAATGTAAGGCATTCAACCACAACAAAACTGGTTAATATTTTACTTGGTACATTGCATTTTAAACCAAAATTAAATTTCAAAAATTGGCGGCAATAGTAGCCTCGACGTGCTGTTCCTTGCTGGTGGAAGACGGCTGAAGCTGAAGCAGAAGCAGACACTACGTCAAACAAAAATACATTTTACAGATGGACAGACTCCCATTATTTAGAGTTTGTTGGAAACAAAGATGAACAGAACAGTTAAGGAGACTTTATGTGCCAAGCCTGACGCAACAGCATCATTAGTTACATGTATTATAATCTAAATATCTTTGATGAAAGTATCTTAAAAGTAATGTAGTAGTAGTGTATTGCTTCACAGTTCAGAGACAGCAACAACACAAGTAACACATTTATTACCGGTATTATCGTTAATGTAATACATAAAACAGTAACGTGCCCAACACCGATGTTGCTGAGACTTAGATAAAGTGTCTGTATGTGCGGTCAGGACTGACCTGCATGGTGCTCTTTGCAGTGCACAGCAGCGTGAGGTGGACAGACGTGTGCCACAAAGAGACCCGGAGCCCTGCGCAGGAGCCGGCCAAGAGCCAGCTGTTCTCGGGGGTCTGCTGACGGAGACCCAGCCCCCCTCCTCCCCCTCCCCTCTGGGAACGCCACGGTGACCTACCAAACAGCCCCAATGCCACGCTCGTCTCGCCTGAAGCTTGTTCTAGGACGCGCATTTTTAGTGAAAGTGCTCGGAGTGAGTTGTAGTGTGGTTTGAGGATATTTTTGATTGTGTTGAAATTAGATTCGGCAATGGGATTTAGTTTTGTTTTCTTTAGAGTGGACTTAACCTGACAAAAAAGACTACTCTCCGCTTTTGGCAATGTTTTCCTTTGTTCCTAAATCTGTTATCAGCCTGATTCATGCATGCTTGAGTTAATGATATCCTCAAATACCCCACCATTGCTCTCCTCTCAGTCCTCTGATTGCAACCTCACGCCCCTATCCAGGATTTTTCTTTCTTTGGCAATTTATTTTTATGAATCCTTGATATGTAGAGAACTCCCCCACCTCACGCAGTCGTTTTAGCTCCAAGGAAAAAATTTATAATCGCATCGCAAGTTTAACTGTCGAGGAGCAGGGCATGTTATCCTGACGCTGTCAAAGGGGTGGGGTTAAGGGGCTGATGAGGCGGGGCTAAAGAGGCACAAGGGGACTGAAGGAGGAGCTGCACAACTGTGTAATAACACCAATTTAGCTCAATTTAAACATTTAATATTTATTTAATGTTTGATTAGAAGAACCACAGAGGGTCATAGATGATCATATTATAGAGAACAGAATCGGGTTCATGTCCCCTTTAACGTTTTGTCACACACTGAAATCTGCTGGATGTAAAACTACGATAAGTATTGCATATATTTGTAACATATTTATAGCTACATTCACCAGTAGTCCTGTCTCACTCTGAGGAGGAATCACAATAAAAAAAGTAACCTGCGACTTGCACTTTAATGAGCAATCTCCACTGGAAACAACACATCAAAATCATCAAAATATTCGTTCAGAGCGGAATGGCAGAACTTTTGTCTGGCCTTTTCAAACATACACATGCCCCTGATTGTATAGAGATGTAGAGAAACCAAACAAAATCTACCAACAAACCTCCTGCTGCTGTTGCTACAATATTCTAACTGTCGTATACTTATCGTGGTGGGAATTGGCAAACACGTGATGATTCGATAGTATTGCGATATTTGGGCCACAACTCAATATTATTGTGATCCTTAACATACAGTAAGTGTTGCAATTTGATTCTGCAATTCATGTCCTTCATATCTAATAAAGGCATTACAGAAATTGAGGAAAACTGCTTAACTCACATTATTATGGTCTGCACATTCACTGAAGCAAACACTTAGGAGGGTAGTGCAAAAACATTATCCTTGAACATTCAGGACACAGGACCTTGTTACAGACAAGACATAATTATTCTCTGATTAGACGACTCTCACATGAACGGTGAGCTCCCAGAAAATCACTTACATTATTCTAATATAACAGACTAGAGTCACAAGAAGCAGACATCATAGAGGAACTGAAACCTCAGATGGAAACAGAAAATTATGTAATGAAATATCGCAGTACTTCGCTCTACTCTATTGATTTAACACATTTTCCCCCACCACTTATATTCATGATAAACACGACTTAATCCAAGCATTTCTGTCCTCGAACATAGTGTCCTACATACTGCTGCTGTCGCTTTCTCTCCGTCGTCATCAAAGCGTCCCCTGTCCTTGAACCACTGTTTGGAACTCTCTGCTTTTAAGTGTGTTTAAAGGAGACATATTGTGCTAACTCACTTCTAAGAGCGTTTATATTTTCCCCTTCTGCTTTCCCACTGAAGCTGTGTTTAGAGACGCATGGTTCCTCTGCTGCTTTTTATGGATGTTCATGATTTTTACTTCCAGGTTGTAGATGAAGCGACCAGGGATAGTACATAGAAACCATAGAGCACTCCTAAACATATGTTAGGAGTGGACCGAGCACTGACGTCACCTGTGTTAGCCTTAATGCGAAAGAGGCAGATCCGAGCTAGCTTGAACTGGCTATTTGAGCATTAACGTAGAGCCAAATGTATGCTAATTATGTTGGTAGGAACGGCCGAGTAACCAAGAGCCAATCAGCATTACCCCCTTTCCCGTCCCCTCTCATGCTACTCGTGAGCTAAAACCAAATCAGGTGACAGAAGGCTCCTGGTTGGTCTGGCCCGAGAACATCTCCATGGCGACAATATGAGACTCGGTTGTTTGATAAGAAGGAAAACAAAGAGACAATTCAATGTCACTGAGTTGTAAATCTATCTCTGTCAGAATCAGCATGTGTTGGTCCAGGTCTGGTTAAAAAATATAATTGATTACTAATTTGTTAACAATTTAAATAACCGGTTACCGTAGTTGCAATTAATCCATTTACTTTTTGCAGCCCTACTAATTATCAAAGGTTAGTTTTCCAGACCTGCCTTATCCCACTATAGTTGAGTCGCCAGCATATCAGCACTTATTATTTTAACTTTAAATGTACAAAATATACAGAAAAATGCACATATGTCACAGATTATAACTACTTTATATTTAACACAAAGGCACAATATCTCTTCTTTAAAACGTCCCTTTGCTGCTGCTGTTATTCCACACTCTCCTGTTGTTTGACACTAACACACTGCTGTATAGGTTTCTCGTGTGGATGGCTTGTCAGGCGTTTTTCTTTCGTTTCTGGTTCACACTTGGCACTGTTGCTCGTTCTGATCCCTCTGACGCCATCGTCCTGGACCGTGTGAAGCCTCATGTCTTAATATAGAGCTGCCTTTGAACATTGGAGTCACAGTTTTGAGTTTGAAAAGACTTGTTTTTTCTGCTGCTTTGGAATCAGATCTATTGTAAAGTCTGTGTTTTGTATGTTTACAGTATTACGCCTTTTATTTATGTCCCATGTTTGAACCACTGGAGTGTGAGAGGACTGCTGTGGGGCTGCAGGGGTGGATACAGATATGGATTATGCAAAATAAAGCATCGTCTGTCATCATAAGCAGACCTGGAGTTGTTTTAAGGACCTACTGGCACAAACACATCCCCCCGCCCCTTCTGTCGACACGTTCTGATTTTAAACAGGTTGTCTGTGATGTCCTGGACTGAGGAGTTTTCTGCTTTTTAAATATAAATTATTGCAATATTACTTTGACTTTGTGTTTATTACTTTACTTAAGTGACGCAAATGTGTACAATTAACTTTCCTGTGGATATTGTACAATCTGAACAATTTGTGTTATTTTTGTCCCTGATAATTCTACTTTTCATATTCTAGATTATTCTTCAAATGTGTGTGTAAACATACTTATTGCATCAGTTTTATATAGTGCTTTTCTGGACACTCAAAGACGTTTCACATGTCATTATTCTTTCACTCCATACACAGCGGTGATAAACTATTACTGTAGCCACAGCCGCCCTGGGGCACACTGACAGAAGCGAGGCAATGAGTCTGTACCATCGACTCCTCTGACCATCACCAGCCATTCTCACACACACCAGACTCATGCTAATGTGGGGAAAGTGTCTTGCCTAAGGACATAACAACAATTTGGCACTTTACAGCCACCCCACTGTGGCACCTTGTGTTTCTGGTCTCCCATCACAGTACTAACCACGCCCTGCCCTGCTTAAATATATCCCATGATACATTCTTGAAACGACCAATGAGACGAGAGATGACGAGAATGTGCCACCGCTGCCATCTAGTTGCAAAAGTGGGAAATGACATTGTTGATATTTTAAACAGGTCTTATTCAAGTCACTCTGAGATTTGTCCTCAAACTAACTTGGTCTCATCAGAACAGCTCTGTCCATTCCTCAAATCAGCGTGGATGGATCTAAACACACCTCCAGGTCTGTGACTGATGAACAATGTTGTAACGTGGTTAAAAACAAAAAGACCATTTTGAATGATGTGCTTTTGAAATCATGAAGTCTGAGAAACAATGGACCAAACCCCGCAGCCCTGGCTTGTTGTATTTTTCTTTGTACATATGTATTTAAGGATGCACCACTATTTATTATGATTTAGTTTCCACGTTGTGTGTATTCTTATTGTTATACAAGCGGTGAGTCTGTAAGACCCTCTGAAAGTGAAAGTGCATATGACAGATTTTTTTTTCATTACTCCAAAAACGATGTTGCACAATATCTGCTCTAAATTGTTAAGTATTGGTTCATTTTTGTATGGGTCACGTATGTAACTATAGCTCTACGAGTCAGTCCTTGTCCTGACCACTAGGGGCAGCTGCGTGTGTGTAACCACGGTAACCACAAAGAGCATCTGATTGGCTGCTCACTGCTTAAACATGCATCGAATTTGAGAATAGGGGATTTTTCATGTGTTTGTTTCCGCACTTTACATCAGAGGTGGCCAGTATGAGAAAATACTTATGTGACATTTCATTTTTGTTTCTGTAATATCCATTGTATTATTTGTTTTAACAATGGAAAAGCAGATGCAAGATTAGCAAAGACCAAACTAAAATGAAAACATGTAAGGATAATATAATTTATAATATTGTCACTGTGTCATCATGGAGATTTATGTCATTAATATGAATAATATTAATTTGTTTCGATCTAAACAAAACTGAAAATGAATGTATAAACTAGTATTCAATCATTTGTCCAGATCTTTGTCGAGGACCTTCACTTGTAATTCCTGCTGAAACGTGTTGGTGAGCGAGTATCTGTCATGAGCACTTTTATCTTTAGGTTTTTTCACTAAATGCGAGGAAACATTAGGGCTGTGTGACAGACCTTTACATGTGATTATAGCAATACTCTATATTTTCTGCTTTTTCGTTCTTAGGTTCTGTATGTAAGTAAAAGCTGCATCTCTGATTCTGTTTCTTTTGACATAATAAACGTGTGTCGCCTTCCATCTGAGCCTCATTCACTAAAGATGTCAATAATGTAGAAACATAAACCTGTGCAGATTGTCGAAGATTATGGCTTTAAAAAGAAAGGAATGGTATAATTGTCATGGTTGGTTTGGATGAACAGTGACAAACGGAATCCATAGAAGAAAACACACGTCTGATAATCACATGAAGGAGCCTTGTTGGCGAGCAGTGGTCAGATATTGGAAGACATTTTGGCACATCCCTGCTTGCAGATCCTTATTCGATTTGCTCATTAGAATAGAACAGTTCACATGAATCAACATTATTGTAAATATGCCAGTATTATCTATAGGGACTATATTGGAAACTACCGGTAGTAGTCTCTGTAAGGAAGGTGTAAAATGCCAACAACAAAAATACAGCAAACTGTTTGGTTGTTTGGGACAGTGCATTCGTTACCCCATAGTCACTCTAACAAACACACACTCATTCACCCTAATCCATTGTACGTGTTTTTAGTGGTACAGTGCCTTACGAAAGTATTCGGCCCCCTTGAACCTTTCAACATTTCAGGCTTCAAACAAAGATATAAAAATTAAATTTTTGGTCAAGAATCAACAACAAGTGGGACACAATCGTGAAGTGGAACGACATTTATTGGATAATTAAAACTTTTTTAACAAATAAAAAACTCAAAAGTGGCGCGTGCAATATTATTCGGCCCCCTTGCGTTAATACTTTGTAGCGCCACCTTTTGCTGCAATTACAACTGCAAGTCGCTTGGGGTATGTCTCTATCAGTTTTGCACATCGAGAGACTGGAATTCTTGCTCATTCTTCCTTGCAAAACAGCTCGAGCTCAGTGAGGTTGGATGGAGAGCGTTTGTGAACAGCAGTCTTCAGCTCTTTCCACAGATTCTCGATTGGATTCAGGTCTGGACTTTGACTTGGCCATTCTAACACCTGGATACGTCTATTTGTGAACCATTCCATTGTAGATTTGGCTTTATGTTTTGGATCATTGTCCTGTTGGAAGATTAATCTCCGTCCCAGTCTCAGGTCTTTTGCAGACTCCAACAGGTTTTCTTCCAGAATGGTCCTGTATTTGGCTCCATCCATCTTCCCATCCATTTTAGCCATCTTCCCTGTCCCTGCTGAAGAAAAGCAGGCCCAAACCATGATGCTGCCACCCCCATGTTTGACAGTGGGGATGGTGTGTTCAGGGTGATGAGCTGTGTTGCTTTTACGCCAAACATATCGTTTTGCATTGTGGCCAAAAAGTTCGAGTTTGGTTTCATCTGACCAGAGAACCTTCTTCCACATGTTTGGTGTGTCAAACGAGACTTTTAATGGATATCTTTGAGAAATGGCTTTCTTCTTGCCACTCTTCCATAAAGGCCAAATTTGTGCAGTGCACGACTGATTGTTGTCCTATGGACAGACTCTCCCACCTCAGCTGTAGTTATCTGCAGTTCATCCAGAGTGATCATGGGCCTCTTGTCTGCATCTCTGATCAGTCTTCTCCTTGTTTGAGATGAAAGTTTGGAGGAACGGCCGGGTTTTGGTAGATTTGCAGTGGTCTGATACTCCTTCCATTTCAATATAATTGCTTGCACAGTGCTCCTTGAGATGTTTAAAGCTTGGGAAATCTTTTTGTATCCAAATCTGGCTTTAAACTTCTCCACAACAGTATCTCGGACCTGCCTGGTGTGTTCTTTTGTCTTCATGGTTCTCTCTGCGCTTTAAACAGAACCCTGAGACTATCAAAGAGCAGGTGCATTTATACGGAGACTTGATTACAGACAGGTGCATTCTATTTATCATCATCAGTCATTTAGGACAACATTGGATCATTCAAAGATCCTCACTGAACTTCTGGAGTGAGTTTGCTGCACTGAAAGTAAAGGGACCGAATAATATTGCACGCCCCACTTTTCAGTTTTTTATTTGTTAAAAAGGTTTAAATTATCCAATACATTTCGTTCCACTTCATGATTGTGTCCCACTTGTTGTTGATTCATGACAAAAAATTTAAATATTAGATCTTTATGTTTGAAGCCTGAAATGTGGCGAAATGTTGAAAGGTTCAAGGGGGCCGAATACTTTCGCAAGGCACTGTAGGGGACCCTGAACCTTCTGGGTAACCACTGCGGCACTGTGCCGCCCTACCATATGTACAATTGAGTTTGGTAATATTGCTTTTAAATACAAGAAAAAGACAGGGACTCAGGAGTTATAAAGGCACATTACCTCATTTTGTACTTCTTCAACACTTCTTTAGCCACAGTGTATGCTGTGGATGCTCTGACATTTTTCACTTTCTCAGGACTAGAAAGGACTAATACCCACGGCTGGTCAGGTTAAGCTAAAAACCGTCAGCTAAAAAATAACAAAACAATTTTTGAATCCCTGTTGCAGGTCTATTTGAGCCAAGGATATCACAAGGGTTAAATACTAACTACCGACTGGAGGAATGCTCAAATTTAAAATGAAGGCCATACTTTAGTTACAGTCTGAGTCTGAGCATCACAGAGTAAGAAGTTTGAGAACAACTTTTAGACCAGACCTGGGCAAAGTGTGGCCCGGGGTCCACATCCGGCCCAATCCACATTTTTTTGCAGCCGCCGGACATTTCCCAGTGGTTAACCTCAAACCAGGCAGTGGTTATTTAAATGAATCAGGAGTCAATACTTAATGAAGGCATGTATTAATATGTGATACAATGACATGTTATACATGTAATCTGTTCTTATAAATTAATCAAAAATAATCTTAAATTTAAAAAATGAACCATGTGAAACCATGTGACATTGGGTCGGCCCTCCACAATAAGGCGATATCCCAATGTGGCCCCTGAAGAGAGTAATTGCTCACTCCTTGTTTAGACAGAGGGAAAAGGGGGCGTGTCAGAAGTCCCTGATATTCTTTGCTAAAAACAGCTCCAGGTCGGTGAGCAGCTGTAACATGGTTCAAAGATGTTGCATATGTGTCTTTAGAAGTCAGCAGTAAAAAACCCTCATAAGTAGAAGAGTCTCCGTGAGTCCAGAGCTGGAGTACTGTATGTGGCAGCGAGGACGGTGGTCCAAACGCACACATCACATGGTCCATAGTTTGCGGTCACCACCACTTCTCAAAGCGGACGCGCTCTGGGGGCAGTCCTAGCTCTTGCAGGCTGACGGACAGGCTCTCGATCATGGTGGGGGGTCCACACAAGTAACACAGGCTGCTCGGAGGACGCACGTGAGCCCGCAGGTCATCTATGCTGATCCGGCCTCCTGAGAACACACACATACAAATCTATATGTATCGGACAACCCATATAATTGTGATGTTTCTGATAGACTAAGACTAATAATAATTAATGTTCAATCACTGAAGAAATCAATGCCATGTTTTCTTGTTTTGATTTTCCAAGATATAGGAGCACTAAAATAAAAAATCAGTGGTTTGGTGGTAAAAAGTGCCTAAAACCAAATGATAAGGTGATCTTCCAGTTAAGTGAACAATAAAATATAATAAAATCTCTAACTTTAGCATAATAAAGAAGCAAGTATAAAATGTGGTTCTATACTATTACACATGCTCTTCATGACACCTGTGGCTGCAGAGGATTTAAACGGCTCCACTCTGGACCCACTTTCAGAAAGTGCCAGATTCACCCTTTGTGTTCACAGTGTCGAGTGGAGGTTGCCTGGATGAGACTGAACCCTGCTGCAGTTTTGTGTGGACATGGCAGACATACTTCCATCTCAAAGACTTTCTTCTCAAACATGAGATGCCAATTCTTAGAGTGTGTGTAAGTGTGTGTGTAAAATGACCACAACACTGCAGAGTATGTTGTGTGTACAAGTGGGAGGGACACAAGGGCTTGGTCCCACTAAACATCCGACGTCCACTCAACCTCCAGATCAAGTCAATATCGCGTCGGTCGGTCGTGACCTTTTATTTACGTCCAAACGACGTCTGTGCAAGGTGCGCATCTGGACGTAAAACAATGACCTCCCATATACGTGGATATGACGTTCAATCCCGACCTCCCCTAGACGTCGAAAACAGGTCATCGGCCGACCGACGCAGTACGTCTTGATCTAGCAATACAATATATAGGCTGTGAAGCAATATAAGTGAACCTGACGGTAGTGTAGTGGTTAAGCAAACGTGTGCAGTCTTGGTTACGTGAGTTCGAGCCCACGTGTGTGTATTATTATCTTTATATATTTGTTTTGATTTTTAACGAACAATTTTTTCCTGTTTGATTAAAGACTAATAAACACTCAACATAGGATTACGTAGTGGCTAATAATAAAACTTGTGAATGTATGCATTTGTTGTGCTAACAATCTCAAGTTTGCAAATAAGGGGTGAGCACTTGAGATTTTATGCAAATGCATGGGTTCACAAGTTTTATTATTAGCCACTACATAATCTTATGTTGAGTGTTTATTCGTTTTTAACCAAACAGAAAAATTGTTCGCTAAAAAGTGAAAAGTCAAAAGTTTTCCGACGGAGATTTGAACCCGCGTCGTTGCGACTGAAGTCTCATTACGCAACCGCTACACCACGGCCAGGCATTTCTTCTGACTACTGTGAAAAAATAATAGATAATACCCTAAACCAGCCATTCCCAAACTCAGTAACACCGAGGCCCAATTATATTATTGTTTTATTTTTTTTATGACCTCCCGCGGCCCCCCTGCAGTACCCTCGCGGCCCACCAGGGGGCCGCGGACCCCACTTTGGGAGACGCTGCCCTAAACAACCGACGCACACTTATGCGCCGCGCGAGTATAACTTATAACTTTACAGCCTGACACGTGAGTCGCTCGGTCGAGGACCTGTTTTCCACGTCTAAACGACGTAAGGTGTGCATCTGGACGTAAAGCAATGTCTTCCCAGACGTTGATATGACGTTGAATCTGTACCTCTGTCGCTGCCCTGCTTTATTTACTTGGAATCATCCTCTCTAGTAAGTACACAGTCTGCACAGTTTTTAGATATAGATGTATCATTTCCACATTGAAAAGAGTTGGAGACAGAAAGTAAGTTGTTTTCTCACGTATACGTGGATTTTGTTAAGTATATTTTGTATATTATCTGTATTTTGAATTGCCAGTGCATGAATCTATAATAATAACGGCTGGCACTGCTCAGCTGAAAAGGGAAACACCTTTTTTTAGTTTTTAAGTTAAAGTTTAAAATATGATATTGTTTTTTTTATTTCAAACTATTTTTTACACATTAGAATTCTTAGGTTAGACTGTCCAACAAAGTATGTGTTAAAAAAGGTTAAGATTCTTGAGTTTTAAAATAATAATTCAATTCTAAAATGTAAAGTTACTGTATATTTCACAATGGTTTATAAACTGCAGAAAGACAACAGTACTTAGTAAACTAAGTTTAAAAACAGGGAGATCAGCTTTAATATTTGGGACACTCCCATCATTTAGACACCTGTGATGTCATCAGTTGGAGTTGAGTTCAGGTGTGGGACCATGTGGGACCATAGGAGCACACAGATGTTACCTGCTGCAGAAAGAGAGTTTAATGTTCATGTATTGCTTTGTTTAATAAATTTATTTAATGTCTTCCCAGGTCTTCAATGTCAGAGACTTTCACTTCTTCTCACTGTGGCTGTTTAAATGAGCCACTACAGTTGTTATTTTTGTTATTGTTAGCTGCAAATATTAAATATCCATTCATCTGCTGGTAGCAAGCTAACTAGCGCTTGCAACTCTATTCAATTTCTTACTTTTTCTTATAAACTTTAAAACCAGCCATATGTTAATTAAAATACATTTACCTTTGCTAATGCAGTCAATTATTGTGAAATCCATAGAGTATAATTTCATGATTGTTGCAATAACTAATGTTCTGTGTGTATTCCTAATGTGTCATGTGTGTTTGAGTCTTACAGGTGTCAGACTGTGTTGAAGGTGTTCAAAGGTAAGAATCACACTCTCACACATTGATTGTTGTTCTGTATTAATATGTTGTTTTTATAATAAACCATTATTTGGTGTATTCTCTTTGAAAACATCTATCTTTTTCTCAGATTGTTCAGCAACTCACTCAAGATGAGGGAAAAGAGCAACAAGGGGAAAATGCCCCCTCGGAAATGCAACATGTGTAGAGTAATACAGGGTAAGTAGCTTTCAGGGCTCATTTGTCCATGTGCAAAACAAATGCACATTTGCAATTGTTTTTTACATGGAATTACTCCAATGACCAAAGCCTTATCCCAAGTTTCTCAGACGGAGTGTCTTCCAGTGTCTCGAGCTAGTGCAGTGCCAAGGTTTGTATCACATGGTGATGGATCGAGTGGTTTGAGGCATTAATAGAAAGTTATGTGTTGTTATATCACTTTGCCACATTATGTTGAAACTTAACATGTTCCACATTTTCAAGTGCTGTGCTTGGACCTTGTGATGACAGACTGAAGACCAAGAGAGGACACATGTTGGAACATCAACGTTCAATAAATGCATTCTTCTGCCTTTCAGATTGTGTTTTTACATCTGGGGAACCTAGAGTGTACTGTAGCTTGTGCCTGTTTTAATACTGATCCAAACATAGGCGCTACAATCATGTTTTTTTACTTTGGCATGAACTGTTCAGTACAGTAGTGTTCATAACACTGTGCCCTGTGTGCTTTAACTTGTACTTTGATGTAGAGAAACATGATTTTTAATGCAGCTCCATTTGCAATAATGACTAATATCCTTCTACTACAGTTGTTCTAATGATTTTTGAATGCTGTGTTTATCGTTTATTGCCCAGAGTCAGAACTAAACATGATAAAGCTGCATTTCAGATTCACAAGGCTAAAATCTGGAACGGTCTTCCTGGAAATGTGAGACAGGCTTCTTCTTTGACAATGTTAAAATCCAGGTTTAAAACACTTCTGTTTCTGCTTCAACTGAGAGATTTTATATTGTTTCTTTTTAATTTACAGTCAATATTTATAATTGTAATGCCTTGTTTGATTGTTTCTATCTTTTGTTCAGTGCTTTGAGTTTCCTTTTGTTTTGACTGTGCTATACAAATAAACTTGCCTTGCCTATTGCAAAAAGTATGTCTCGACCAGTGAGTGATTCTGCAGAGGTTAAGTATGTCAATAGGACTGTAAATGGACGTCATATAAACGTCAATATTTTGGTCATATAAGACGTCGAGAGGACGTCGGACCCGACCGGTTCTGTACCACATTGCAACCTTGAATGAAGTGGCCGCGACGTCATTTGAACGTCCAGATAACGTCCAGATGACGTTGAAATGACATAGTTTTGACATCTGCTTGCTTAGTGGGAACAACGGAAAACGAACGTCATATGAAGGCAATATTTTGGTCATATAAGACGTTGATAGGACGTCGGACCCGACCGGTTCTGTACCACATTGCAACCTTGAATGAACGTCCAGATGACGTTGAAATGACATAGTTTTGACATCTGCTTGCTTAGTGGGAACGACTGAAAACGAACGTCATATAAACGTCAATATTTTGGTCATATGAGACGTTGATAGGACGTCAGACCCGACCGGTTCTGTACCACATTCAAACCTTGAATTGACGTGCCATCAACGTAACATTTGGAGGTTGAAGTGACGTCGGGAAACGACGTCGAGAAAACTTTCATTCTGCACCCACCAGTGACCTATATTCTACGTCGGACAACGACGTTCAAATTACGTTGATTCAACGTCGGCTTGCTTAGTGGGGTGTAGGGGGTGTGGGGGACATGGGGGACATGGGGGACACAGGGGCCTGTACTCACGGCTCATGGGCGGCTCCAGCTCTGTGCTCCCCTGGGTCACGTGGAAGTCACAGGACAGGACGCTGGGGAAGAGGGCGCACGTCTCTGATATAGAGCTCTGCAGGACACAACACAGAGCATCACACACAGCATCACACAAATACACACACAAACACAGCATCACACACGCACTAGCCTGGGTCGTACCACACCATAGTACAAATTACATTTCGTACGAAGGTCTGGAGGTGCTCCATTGAGCTCCGTTTACAGGTGGGAGGGGTTAACTCCTCCTGCAGATTGAAACGATTGGATCTGAGTTTACCGTGACGTATGCAGTGCGCCCGAGTCTGTTGTTAGCATTTAGCATTTAGCCTAGCCATCTCCTTTGCCGCGAACGGAGCCCGTGGTGGGGAGTAGCGCCACAATTTTTTCCAGCGATTACATTTGATAAACATTACCCTTGCTCCGGCTTCAATTTCTTGATAGAACCAGACTGGATTACTTTACTATCGCATTTTCCGCCATTGCCAAACTACAACCTGCCCGTTCGATACAAACTCTTGACGTCACCCACAACTAACTACAACACCTGCCTTCCGCGCTCTCTGAATGGTCGGTCGAAATTCAACTGATTGTAATCGCTAACACAGGGACTAGATCCAGACGTTACATGCAATGAAAAGATGATTGAACGGAGTGTACGGATGGATAAGGCCAGGCTACACAGGCACACACACACACACACAGCATCACACACACAGAGGCCAGCTTTCAGCGACAGGGAGGGCAGGATTATAGGGATTATAGGGATTATTCAGATCATGTATCCACAGGTAAGCGTGGCTTCAGAGTGTGGTCTGAGTCAGAGTCACAATGAGACCAGTTCGGCCTGGACTGAACACCAGCTTTATAATAATATGATCATAATTTGCATATTTGATATTTGATATACACAGTGGGGAAAATAATTAAGTAGTGGTCCTTCATTTTCAGCACAGGTTTGTGTCTCCTGTGAGTGACAGAATATAAAATAAAATCCAGGAACTCAAATCCGAGAATAGAAGAAAGTGTCGTGAGATTTTGAGGAAAACCCTTAAAGTTTTAACATTATTTACATATTTAAGGACAATGTATAGTTACATTAAAAATATATCTGCACCAGATTTAGCATCAGTGACAACATTCACTTTCAAGCGACTGAGTGGAGTCAAATGTGACCCAGGGCAAATACATTCATAAACCATTTTTATAGTTTTAATCGGAAAAAAAACTTTCCTCCCGAGAATGTGTCAATATCTGTTTGATCGTACAGTAGAATGTTGTAAGGATCGCTCAATCCGTGTAGAAAATATAATCCAAACTTGTGCAGGTCACTTTTGACCCGAGGCTTCAGATGGTTTTGTCATTTGACACTCTAAGCTTTATATGTCACTGTTTTGCAGGAAGCTCGAACAACAGACTGAGAAAAACAAGATTTACAGCTGCACAGATCGAGAGATTGTGGCGGCCCAGAGTGAGGATTTTCTAGCTTTGTGTTTTTGGTGCTTTTTAGGAAAGATAAATCAATTGCAAAACATTATTACATAAAGATGATGGAAAAATATATTAGAGAGTGAAATAAATATGAAGAATTCTAAAACAATCATTTAAAAATAAATATTCCTCGGCCATAATACAGTGCCTTGCAAAAGTATTCACCCCCTTGGCTTTTTACCTATTTTGTTACATTACAGCCTTTAGTTCAATGTTTTTTTTATCTGAATTTCATGTGATGGATCAGAAAACAATAGTCTAAGTTGGTGAAGTGAATTGAGAAAAATATATACATAAAACTATTTTTCAGAAATAAAAAACTGGAAATTGGCATGTGCATATGTATTCACCCCCTTTGTTATCAAGCCCATAAAAAGCTCTGGTGCAACCAATTACCTCCAGAAGTCACATAATTAGTGAAATGAGGTCCACTTGTGTTCAATCTAAGTGTCACATGATCTGTCAGTACATATACATACCTTTTTTGAAAGGCCTCAGAGGCTGCAACACCTAAGCAAGAGGCACCACTAACCAAACACTGCCATGAAGTCAGTGAACTCTCCAAAAAAGTAAGGGACAGTGTTGAGAAGTGCAAGTCAGGGTTAGGTTATAAAAAAATATCAAAATCTTTGATGATCCCCAGGAAAGAACATGGCACAACAGCAAACCTGCCAAGAGACGGCCTCCCACAAACTCACGGACCGGGCAAGGAGGGCATTAATCAGAGAGGCAGCACAGAGACCTAAGGTAACCCTGGAGGAGCTGCAGAGTTCCACAGCAGAGACTGGAGCATCTGTGCATAGGACGACAATAAGGCGTACGCTCCATAGAGTTGGGCTTTATGGCAGAGTGGCCAGAAGAAAGCCATTACTTTCAGCAAAAAACAAAATGGCATGTTTTGAGTTTGCAAAAAGGCATGTGGGAGACTCCCAAAATGTATGGAGGAAGGTGCAAACCCAACACATCACATCACCCAAAGAACACCATCCCCACAGTGAAACATGGTGGTGGCAGCATCATGCTGTGGGGATGTTTTTCAGAAGCCGGGACTGGGAAACTGGTCAGAGTTGAGGGAAAGATGGATGGTGCTAAATATTCTTGAGCAAAACCTGTACCAATCTGTGCGTGATTTGAGACTAGGACGGAGGTTCACCTTCCAGCAGGACAATGACCCCAAACACACTGCTAAAGCAACACTTCAGTGGTTTAAGGGGAAACATGTACATGTGTTAGAATGGCCTAGTCAAAGCCCAGACCTCAATCCAATAGAAAATCTGTGGTCAGACTTAAAGATTTCTGTTCACAAGCGCAAACCATCCAACTTGAAGGAGCTGGATCAGTTTTGCAAGGAGGAATGGGCAAACATCCCAGTGGTAAGATGTGGCAAGCTCATAGAGACTTATCCAAAGCGATTTGGAGCTGTGATTGCCGCAAAAGGTGGCTCTACAAAGTATTGACTTTAGGGGGGTGAATAGTTATGCACATTGACCTTTTCTGTTATTTTGTACTATTTGTTGTTTGCTTCACAATACAAAAAAAAAGACAACATCTTCAAAGTTGTGGGCATGTTCTGTAAATTAACTGATGCAAATCCTCAAACAATCCATGTTAATTCCAGGTTGTAAGGCAACAAAACACACAAAATGCCAAGGAGGGTGAATACTTTTGCAAGTCACTGTAGGTGCAAAAATAGCTTGGTCGCTTGAGGGCCAAAGATGAAACATGGCTGGTGCTTCCAGCAATGCAAAAGACACACATGGTCCTGGTATTTAATGGTCCTGGAGTGGCCTCACCAGACCTCCACCCCATAGAAAATCTGTGTAGGAAGTTTAAAGTTTGTGTTGCCAGGCAACAGCCCCAAAACATTAAAGCTCTAGAGAAGATCTGGATGGAAGAATGGAGGAGTTCAAGTATCTCAGGATCTTGTTCACGAGTGAGGGAAGGATGGAGGCGGATCAGTGCAGCGTGTCCAGTGACTCGGTCGCTGAAACAGACTGTTGTGATGAAGCGGCAGCAGAATTCGAAACACAAAGCTCTCATTTATCTGTCCCTGCCTCACCTCTGATCATGAGCAGAATGACCTAAAGGGTGATCGCAGATACAAGTAGTCAAAATGAGTTTCCTCTGCAGAGTGACGGAGCGCTCCCTTGGAGAGAAGTGGAGGAACTCAGTCACACGGGAGAGCTCGGAGTAGAGTCGTTGCTTGCTTTCTCCAAATGGAGAGCAGCCAGTTGAAGTGGCTCGGGCATCTGTTTGGGATGCCTTTGGGATGCCTCCGGGACGCCTCTATCAGGAGGAGACCAGAGGAAGACCCAGGACATACCGAAAGGCCTGGAAGCAACTTGGGATTCCCCTAGATGAGCAGGAGGAAGTGTGCGTGAGTAGAAAAAGTCTGGGCGTCTCTGCTCAGACTGCTGAGACCCAACAATAGATAAAGTAAAAGAAAATGGATGGACATAAGACATTGTTCCAGGTAATACACATGAGGGGTGGTGGTCTTTGGTATTCACTTGCATTAGAAAAGGTGGTTATTCCAGTGCCATTTTTGGGCCCCCAAATGATTCTGAATAATTTATGTTAGATTGCGGGCATTGATTATAAGAGGTTCTAAGCAACCAGAAAAGAACTGGTGTTCAATAAAAGCAATCCTGTAAAATATGTAAACGGATGCAAAAAAGTAGCTTCAGATAAATTCAACTCTAAGAAAGCAACAACATTTTGTAAAAACACATCCTCCCCCAGGACAGCCCTGGTGTCGAACAACTTTTTCAGTTAACTATGAAATAGTTCTGTGCGGCGTCTCCTTCCAAATATTGATCTTGCCCCCTCCCTGGGAGTGAAATAGTTTGGGCACCCCTACTCTTTCTTTCTATTTATTGCTGCAATTGTGGTCTTTTGTCAAAGGCTACAAATGAAAGGAAAAACAAGTTCAGCATGTTCCAGTTAGTGCAGCTCCTGAACTTCACCATCTGACCTGATAAAGGTCAGAGTTTCACTGTCTGTGGAGACAGAGGTTTCTGCTGCAGACAGTGGTTCCTGCTGCAGACAGTAGTTCCTGCTGCAGACGGTGGTTCCTGCTGCAGACAGTGGTTCCTGCTGCACACAGAAGTTCCTGCTGTAGACTGTACCTTGAAGAGCAGCTCCTGGGGGCTCTTGGCGCTGAAGCTCAGATGCACAGAGCGGACAGAGTCCTGCTTGAGCCGCAGCAGCTCTGCAGTGTGCAGCAGGATGGAGTACAAGGGGTTGATGCCCACTCCTCCAGCCACCAGCAGCAGGTCCAGAGCCACGTCACAGGGACCAGGGTCGAAGAAGAATTCTCCTCCTGCTCGCACCTTCACCCGAGAGCCCAGAGAGCACTGGGGAGACACAAGACGCACATGTGTGAGAAGGATTTACACAAACTACACAAACAATGAGTGACTTTTACACTGTGCAATAAGCCATACATGACTATAAGTAAATGTAAACTCAGTAGTTAAGAGTTCTTTATTTTAATTCTACTGTATTTACCATTAATTTTAATAAATGTCGCAACATTTAAAAAATAATAACACATCTTTACTACCCCACCATGGGTATGAAGATCACCTCTATGTGTGTATTGTGCAAAAACAAGAGGACGGATTTAACTGAAATTTAAAAGACCATGTTAATATTTCAGGACCTTGGCGGGGTATGTGCTCTCCGAGTGCTCTATGTAAATGTTTTCAGTTTTACAAATTTGTAACAGAATTGTAGGTCATCATTAACCTCGTCTTATGTGAAGCCAAAAAAAGGATCCCTGAAACTTGAGATTGAGGGCGTCTGAAATCATTAACAGAAAAAAAAAAAAAGGACGTGAGAAACATGTGTGAAGCCACTGCTACTTTGGTCTCAAGGGTTAAATAAAGAAAAGCTACTGGTGCGCATAAAAGTTGGACTTGGAAATATTTGAAGAGATTTTAGACTGAGATATTAGACCAATCCGTCAAATCTGAGAGAGCAGATAAGTTCAGGCCATCACCAGGCTGTCGACTGTGAAGACAAAGTCACGAGAGGAGCCAAAGACTTCAAACCCGGCGTATCAAAGGGCCGTGTGTGCGTATCCGTGGAAACAAAGTGAGAGCACAGACACAGGAGACAGAGTGTGTAGCAGTAGTGGTAGTAGTGGTGGTGGTGGAGGAGAGGGCTTGTGCCACAGGAAGCTCTCTCTCTCTCTCTGAAGACTCACAACAAACAAATAAAAACAGGAAAAGTGTGCGATGAAAGAGGCCGGCTTCAAATGTGCGCGATTTAAAGGTGAACAGGTGAAAGCAGCTTCACAGGAGCAAAGTTCTGCCTCTGTTCTCTGTGGGATCAGACAGTTACTACAAACAGAGCAAAACTGAACTGTATCCAGGAGGAGTGTGTTTAACCCTCTATCGCTGCTGAACAACAATCACGCTTACACACCCTGACCTTTAATCACCTACACATTTACACATTAAAACATACTTTCTTTGAAACCTCCATTTATGATACACATTTAGAATTTGTTCAACTTATTTTAACTCTTAAGCAACTATAATTTAGGTCAAAACCTAAACACCAATTTCTATCACCAATTACATAAACATACATTTATTTACAAAAAGCTTCAAAACAAAACTTTTTATTTGAAGCCTCCTTTAACAATTATTGTTGACTTAATTCAACCCTTAATAGACCAAAATTATGTCAAAAAGTCACGCCCCTGATATCAAAATTATAGAAATGAAAAATAGTTCAAAGGTATAGACTAAAGTATGCAGAAATAGTCAAACACCAAACATTAGCATCTACTTACAACGAGGAGGATGGATATTTTGCATCAAAATCTATTGGAAAATATATATACTTATATCAATGTTTAATCCCTTGCAAAAATATTAAAAAAATATTACAAATTAAGTCAATCAGGTATGTATTATGTATAAGAAAGATGACTTCAGGAAGGGACTTCACATCAATGCCGAGGACAGTGGGTTATATAAATAGAACAAAATGTATCAGATAAATGTCTCCGTAAATTGTGTTTCTCTAGATACAGACCACAGATTATAGTCCTGTGAGATGAGATCACACAAACCATGATTTGAAACGGTTTCTTGTCTCACAGTCAGAAACATCACACACTTCAGAGTCTACAAGAGTCCACAGTCCTAATGAACCATCTCCTTCAATCCGCTCTCACATATAGTTTGCCTTTTTCCAGTGGAACAAGACTTGGAGAGGTTTAAAACATGTAATGTGTCAGGGAAACGACAAGTGGTTATTTCCCCCAAATTGTGCAGCACCAATTATGAGACTCTCCTGTGCCAAAGTGGGCCTGAATATTGATTCTGCAGTTTAAAAAAAACACCTCCCACGCCAGAGAGTGAAGCCAGGCCTGAGGAACGGCTCCAAATGCAGAGAAGTCCAACGAGGAGACCAATCTACACTGTTTTCACGGTTTTACACGGTTTTACACTGATCTACACCGTTCTACACTGTTCTATATGGATCTACACACTGAAGGCACATCCTCCTCCTGTTGCCTGTATTCTACTACTGCTACTGTTGTTGTGGTTGTATTTGGTAACAAAAAATAACTCTTGGAAGAAAATTATTGTATTAATGAAACCAACGTTATTAGGTACTTTTAACTATCATATCAAAGGTAAGATAGCTTTAAAAATTGGCACTAAAAGATTTGTATTTTTCTGATACCAGTGGGAGCCGAGTGTTTTTGGTCTGTTCTAAGTAAAAACCATGTTTTCTTCATGTTTAAGTTTAAAGATTTAATTCTGCTTTTTGCTGGACGACACAGAAGAAACTACTACTACTTCACATCTCTAATCCCAGAATAAAGTTTTCTCTGTGCTTCTCAAATCATTCACGGCCAGCACTTTGTATATGCATACTGCCAGCACATTGGCTTCGTTTTATGTAACAACATTGAAATCCAAGAGAAAAGAACTGGAGCCACACTTAAAGCATGTGTTTGCCAGAGACTCTTTTTCATTTGTAACATTCAAATAAAATGGTCTTGGTTCATCAGCAGCTGCACATCATTATCAAGTCGTTATTTTCAGACAGAAGCACGAGGACAACAAGGAAGACATCATCATTTCTGCCAGGATTAGTACATTTATGAGCAATTCTGCACGTACAATTCAACATGAACAACATCATATGATAAAGAGGGAGGCTCAGATACAGAGCCAGGACAATCTGGGGAATCGGTTCTGTGTCAATACAGCAGTATCCTGATCGAGTCTTTAGCTTCTGTTTAGAGGCTGATTTGAACCCAGAGAGTCACAGAACCTGGAATAACATATTCAGTAGAAAATAAAAAATGGTAAAAAATAAATAATGGTTAAAAAAATGAATAGAATTTTTCTTTTTTTCATTACCGGCTACAACCACAGCCAAGCAATTGTCTCGGGCGGCATTTTCCTAGATTTGGTCCTTTCACAATGTTTCTCACTTTTTCCCACTGGATATTTTAATTTGAGTTTTTCCTTGCTGATACAGGAGGGTCTAAGGACAGTGGCGATGATCAACATTCAACAACATTTATGAACATTGGTGATCTGCCCCTTATGGACCAACGGCTCTCTGTGTTCTATCAGTGCATATCCTGTGTTTGAACTGTTTGATTCTCTGATCTGTGGTGGCAAATTTGACGGTTTTAAAGTCCTCAGAGATAACTACTGTTGTGATTCAGATACAAATAAATTGAATTGAACTGAATTAAACTAAAGGAAAAACCTAAACTAATTAATGGAACTTTTGTTTTAAAAGAAAGAAGGTTTACAGTGAAATCATACAATCCCGGGACAAGACAATAGCTTGAAGGGGCAGAGTAAGGGTGTATTCAGACCAGAAAAGTCATTTGGTCCGCTTGCTTGCTCCAAATCAAAAGCAGACCACATTTTTTTTCTTTTGCCCCGGTTCAAATTCAGACTGTCCTTTTGCAAGTGAACTTTCTTATATAAACATATCGACACGTGTGACGATCGGCGCTCCTATTGGACAGCGAGAGCTCATGGAGATTAGACACGGAACCGGAGGAAAACGTTGAGCACGTATGTGCTGCTTGTCTGCTCTGCCTATGTTTGCTCTTTTTAGAGAAAAACCACCTTCAACATCAAAAGCAGCTCATATGACACAAGCGAAACACATTGTTTTAAATATTGGAACAGCGTTGGCGAATGCGTGAGGAGAAAGCCGAAGGAGACTGCGCTACGTGCCCTGTCCCACACATGGATCTATAATAACAACATACTGACAGCAGCATGTGGATAAACCATGGATCTATAATAACAACAGGATAAACAGACAACGAAGGATCAGGTATAAGCCAAAGAACACAATTCACTACATGATACAGGATATTGGTCTTTGAGGCGTGAGTCAAACACGTCAGGCTTTTAATAATGCTAATGCTTTGAAGATGCTGCCATTAACATCACTGTATACTGTGAAAAGTTTTAACTCCATAAGCCTGTTGCACAGCGTCTCCTCATTGCTCCAGGTAGCAGCATAGTTAGCAGCAGTGACGCGTGGCTAATTCCTCACAGTTTCTGTCTATGGCTTGTTAAGCCCAAAAAATGCGCACGTATCTTGGAGTTGTGTTGGATCGACACCTGTTGTATTCAGACCTGAATCGACTCGGACCAGAGTTTGTTTGGAAGCGGGCCGAGACCACCAAAAAAAACTGGGTCTCGGTTCGGTTCTTTGGTCCGGACCAGGATTCGTTTGAGTGTATTCTGCATAAAAGGTTCGCATCAGAGTTCCCAACGAATCCTGGTCCGTTTAAAGTGGAGCAAATGTGCAGGTCTGAATACACCCTAAATTTATATATTTCCTTGCAACCTATGAAGTAGGAATTAAACCAAAATACTCTTGGCCGTTAAACAAATGGACGTGTTTTGAACATGGCTAGATTTGGCTGCCTTAAAAGAGCAGATTTCCGCTCCATGGGTGGTACCCTTCCTAAACACAATCAAACACTTTTGATGTACATTATTTATGCCCTTCATAGAGCTGGGTGGTTCCAAGACCCCCTGTAGGTCTTTGTGTTCATGTTTGTATTCAGAATGGCAGAGCTGCAGACCCTGTTGCATTGTCACACATCACCGTCCAGAGAGAGGCCTCCTCACCTTCGTGTGGAGCCAGTGAGCCGGGGGGTGATCGGTGTACTTGACGGCCAGCTCGATGACCCCCTCTCTCTGCAGCAGGCCTGGGCTGGAGCACATGGAGAAGCCCCCGACAGTGGCCAGACCAGGGATGAACAGGTCCACCCTACACACACAGAACAGCAGAGAGAGCTGTTTTTATCAAACAAGTCTTATAAACTTTTAACATGTAACAGCCACAAAGTTATTAGTGGTGAAGAAAAAAAAAAAAGGATTCCGTTCAGTATCGCAATATTTTGCGCACGCAATTAAATCAGTACAGTAGAGGAAAGTTTTCTGATATTTAATTGAATCATTTGTTTCATTCTTGTGTTTCTCTGAATTGACTTTACCTTTGTTAGCAATTTACATCTGAGGTTTATGTTACTGTATTATTTCTTCTTTTTGTGACTCGAGTCTGTTGCATTTTAATATTATAAGTTATGAGCAGGAAGCTCCCCATGCTCTAGAGCAGCCATTCCCAAACTCAGTAACACCGAGGCCCCCTTAAAAATCCGACGGGTCTGCGTGGCCCCCCAAAATAATAACCAAGAAGACAACATTAAGAATAGGCTCTTCTGGTTATTTTATTTTGGGGAAATAGCCTCTGCTACAAACATTGTAATACAAAAATGATTACAGTGGATTATTCAAGTCAAATAATGAACACAAATATTTTAATATTACAAACAAAACATTATAAATTTAACATTAAATAATAATATTTTTTTTTTTTTTTTTTTATGACCTCCCGCGGCCCCCCTGCAGTACCCTCGCGGCCCACCAGGAGGCCGCGGACCCCACTTTGGGAGACACTGCTCTAGAGAAGTAAAAGTAGGGAGAATGTTCCAGTTACTGAACATGATGTCTTTGTATAGAAGTTGTGAAGGCTTTTAAACATCTTGATTGATTCTTTGTTCTTTAAACCTCACATAGATTCCCCATCAAAAGATTGCACTTACTGAAATTTTACTTTTTCTTTTTATGCCAGGGAGAGTTTTGCTGTTGAAATGTCTCCCAGTGCTGGACTGCTGTGTCCTTCATACCCCCTTCTCTTTGTCACTGTGCTGCTTTAGCCTCATATGGACATGTTCAGAGGACTGTATTGTGAATAGCCTCTTTTCCAGATCCTTGGATCTCAATGGGAAAGGCCTAGTTCCATAAAAGGTTAATCATAAAAAATACATATTTTCTAATAAGATGGAAACAACATGGTTTACAAGTTCAAGAGATGCGTTTCTTTCCCACACAGAGAGAGGCAGGTTTGAATGTTTCCCCCTCAATAAAATGTATGTCTTTATGGAGGACCACCATCAATGTCCAACAGTCCAGGGACCGTCACTGACATAAAACTGGGCATTACAGTCTATGTGATCTATTTACAATAAACAACATGTTTACGACAACATCAGCGTTGGAAAAGGCGTGTTGTGTTTTCTTGGATTGTCTTTGTATGACATCATGCTGACCGTGTTGTGAAATCACTAATGTGTGCGATAAGTGTCATAAATAAAGACAATTCAGGACGCAGGTCCTGATCAGCTTGTTATAGTGCAGTCCTGTGAAGAAGCTAGAGTCCTGTAGAGGAGCAGGAGTTGGCTCCTCGCCCCGCTGGCCCCTGGAGACTTGGCGCTCTCTGAACTGCAGGTAGAGTCTGGATCTGCTCCCGCCGCCCACCCGCATATGTCCCGCTCACACCCACCCACCACCAGCGCCGACTCCAGCTCCTGTGGCTCTAGTGGAGAGTCAGCGCCACTCCCCGACATGCTCTCCAACTGACGGGCCCCAAATGAATGAGTCTTTATTCTCCAGGTCCCCCCGCACCTTTGTGTACGAATGGTCTGTTTTCATACTTGTTAAGCATCAATTTACATTAAAATGAATGGTGCCGACCTCTGGGAACACCTGATGCCACAGTGTCCTTAGGCAAGACACTACACCCACAGCAGAATGCATCAGGTGAGTGCGTGTGTGTGTGTGTGTGTGTGTGAATGGTTGGTGGTTCAAGGGGCCAATGGCACATACTGGTTCTCCACAGTCTGAGATAGCAGGATAATTTATAGAACACAGGTCATTATGTAAAATAAGTAAAGTAAATACGTACATACTTACTTGCCCCCAATCAAAACTCTTCACACGTCCCCCGCCCAGTGGACACTGCCTTGGGCTGCCCCGTGCCCTTCTGACCCCACATCCCCAGCCCCCACCTCCATCACACCGGATGGTGAGGAGTCAGCTCCAGCGCCTGATCAGTCCCAGGCTGCTGAGGACCTGTGCAGACCAGCTCTCTGGGGTCCTCAGCTACATGTACAACCTGAGCCTCAGCCTCGAGAAGGTCCCTGTCCTGTGGAAGACCTCCTGTGTGATCCCGGTTCCTAAAAGAGCGCAGCTGTGAGTCTGAGGTGGTACTTTGCAGTACTGGGGCCCCTCAGGCCACTGTCCTCTCACCGTTTCTCTTCACCATCTACACTTCAGACTTCACATACGACACACACAGCTGTCACCTGCAGAAGTTCTCTGACGACACACGTGGGCTGTGTGTTTGAGGGGAACGATCTGGAATATTGGTCAGTTATCACAGACTTTGTCGACTGGTGTGAGCACAACCACTTGTGCTTGAACACCAGTAAGACCAAGGAGATGGTAATCGACTTCAGCACAGAGCGGGACAGAAACAGACTGAACAAGCTGGTCAGGAGGGCCAGCTCCACTCTGGGCTGCCCCCTGGACTCTGTGAAGGAGGTGAGGGACAGGAGGTTGTGTTTCAAAGCCACCTCCATCAAGAACAACACCTCCTGTCCACTGCAGAGGACTGTAGAGGAGCTGAGGAGCTCCTTCAGTGGAAGAAGGAGCGCTACCGCAGGGCCTTTATCCCCACTGTCAGACTGTACAACAAGTCACTTTAAGTCACTGCGCTATGACTGAAAAGAAACCTGCACTACTATTGACTGACTACTTCTTTCTAATTTTTACATAATATATCCTGCATTAACATGCTGCACATTTCTTACTTTTTCACAATTCTTATCCTTGCATGTAAATTTCTCCTGTGTGAGATTAATAAAGTCTTATCTTATCTTATACTTATAAGTAAATAAGTATTTTCCGTTCTAAACATCATCCCTTACAAAACAATGAAGACTTTATTCAAATAAAGGTCACTTTAGTAGTTCCATATTGTAAGTTGAACTACAGAGGTAAACAGACTTTTGAATGCTTCCATTTTCAGAGTTTCACTTGTAAATCATGCTGTGTTAGAATTTCAATACAATAGTAAATAGCAATTTTCCTCGTCTGCTACTAGGAGAATGGGTTTTATGACGCAGGATCCTTTTCTTAACCTTGTGGCGTTTATCCATTTATTGTGATAAATACTCTCAAGGTTTAAGGGCCAAGTTGAACACGGCTCTTGTTACTTGTTCTTGAAACTTGACAACAACGGCCTATGAAGAGGAGATGGGAAGAAAAAGGAGGAGGTATTTTGAATGGATTTGGATGCAGCCGTAGTGCAGAGTGAAGAGGTTTCGGTGCCATGACGTCCCACGGATAAACCTATGTGCAGGAGGGGGTTAAAGAACACCCACGCACAGCTGATACATGCACCCACACTTGGCTGAAGCACCAGGCCCTCTGCAGATCAAAGATAGAACCCACTGTGTAACAATGGCGCCCCCTTGTGTCATCGAGCAGTCAAACCAGTATCGATAACAAAGGCTATTATTATGAGCTACTTGAGGATGGAGACAAAACATGTATGAAAAACTATGATTAACTAAGAGTAAGAAAACAACCACGTATAGTTGCACTTTTTAATTGAAATTGTGTATTTTCAAATCACATTGTTAAAAATAAGTTTATGAAGTTCAGAACATTTATATTTTAAAAAAATAAATAAAGTGACACACTTTAACCTGCGGTCTTTTTTGAAGGATAAAAGCATACAAAAAAAATAATTTTCTTATTTGAACGTCATTTTTGGCGAAAGTACGGGCCCAGGTGCTTTGGACTCTGTACCTTTGCCTTAGATTATAGCGTCAAAAATATATATTGAACACATTTAATTGAGATAAGACACAAACCTGGGTGTGTGTGAATGAGACAAGATTAGATTAATCACTCTAATAATAAAGCTTTATCATCAGGACAATCTAAATTAAAGCGTAGTATAGCACAATTCTGACCACTCTATTATGACACAGCTTGACAGTGTTCCTTTGCTATTCAGCTCGTCTGAGACTACAACATCACAAAATGGGTTGTGTGTGTGTGTATGTGTGCATGTATGTGTTTGATATGTGTACTCACCACTGTCCTGCCTTGAAGCTGAAGTCTGGGTGCACTGTTAACCTGAGTCTCTTCACAGACTCTGACTCCTGGCTGATCCCACACACCTGGGCCGGGTACAGAGCCTGTGCAAACCCAATGTTAGCGTGCTGTGAACACACACACACCATTAACAATAGAGGGACATCATCACAAAAAGAATGAGCAGGCTATATACTGTACGTTCAAATACTCTCAAATCCTAATCTGTTTGCACATCAATCAGGGATACTCAATTAGCGGGACACTACACCTTTTATTTGTGGATCACATGACCATGACATGTATAAACAATCTTGTATTGAATTCACTTAATGTCTGAGGAGAAGGAGGAGTCAGAAACAGCAGCATGTGTGTGTTCACAGTCATGTGCCACCACCGTTCACACACACATCCAGAACAAAGGGACACAGGCCCTCACCGTGTGTCTGGGCTGAGCTGCGGTCCTCTGGAGGTGATCCCTCTGCCTCTTGGACGACATGCTCCTGTCAGCACACACATGTGTTAGTTGTGTTGTGTCAAAGTGTACAGGAGAACTTTGAGCTCCATGTGACAGTGACGCGCAGGACGACATTTAAAGACATAGGACACTCTGTAATCACTGCTATATGCATCATCATGTTGCACGTTTTGTGGCGAGAGCAACAGATGAACTAGTATTTGAAACAGTGATAAACAGTGATTAAAAAATCTACATGCATTGTATTAAATGCTTTATTTTATAAACAACTTTTATGTGACAAAGAAAGGGCCTTAATCATGACTAACATGTGGTCAACAAATCTGACCAAAAATGCTGTCTTCATCTTAATAGAAAATAAGATATTATGGAAAAATGTTTCTTTTGCATCATGTAAGTGAAGTGAAGCATAGCATTGTGTATGGACCGTGTATAGCAAGGTTCCTACACAATGCATGAATCTCACTAGTACGCTTTAGGCTGAGAGCTGATTAACTGAGTAAGAGTGGACGTCCCTTTGTCACTTTTCTGATCTGAAGATTTGGCAGAGGCCAAATACATGCATGTGAAAACTGCATGTATTTACTGATTTAGAGCCTGGAACAGGTTACATGGATTGTAATAGATATATTTCATGTAATGGAACAACAATGCCTTGCGAAAGTATTCGGCCCCCTTGAACCTTTCAACATTTCGCCACATTTCAGGCTTCAAACATAAAGATATAACAATTAAAATTTTTGTCAAGAATCAACAACAAGTGGGACACAATCGTGAAGTGGAACGACATTTATTGGATAATTTAAACTTTTTTTAACAAATAAAAAACTGAAAAGTGGGGCGTGCAATATTATTCGGCCCCCTTGCGCTAATACTTTGTAGCGCCACCTTTTGCTGCAATTACAGCTGCAAGTCGCTTGGGGTATGTCTATCAGTTTTGCACATCAAGAGACTGGAATTCTTGCCCATTCTTCTTTGCAAAACAGCTCGAGCTCAGTGAGGTTGGATGGAGAGCGTTTGTGAACAGCAGTCTTCAGCTCTTTCCACAGATTCTCGATTGGATTCAGGTCTGGACTTTGACTTGGCCATTCTAACACCTGGATACGTCTATTTGTGAACCATTCCATTGTAGATTTGGCTTTATGTTTTGGGTCATTGTCCTGTTGGAAGATTAATCTCCGTCCCAGTCTCAGGTCTTTTGCAGACTCCAACAGGTTTTCTTCCAGAATGGTCCTGTATTTGGCTCCATCCATCTTCCCATCAATTTTAGCCATCTTCCCTGTCCCTGCTGAAGAAAAGCAGGCCCAAACCATGATGCTGCCACCACCATGTTTGACAGTGGGGATGGTGTGTTCAGGGTGATGAGCTGTGTTGCTTTTACGCCAAACATATCGTTTTGCATTGTGGCCAAAAAGTTAGATTTTGGTTTAATCTGACCAGAGCACCTTCTTCCACATGTTTGGTGTGTCTCCCAGGTGGCTTGTGGCAAACTTTAAACGAGACTTTTTATGGATATCTTTGAGAAATGGCTTTCTTCTTGCCACTCTTCCATAAAGGCCAAATTTGTGCAGTGCACGACTGATTGTTGTCCTATGGACAGACTCTCCCACCTCAGCTGTAGTTATCTGCAGTTCATCCAGAGTGATCATGGGCCTCTTGGCTGCATCTCTGATCAGTCTTCTCCTTGTTTGAGATGAAAGTTTGGAGGGACGGCCGGGTCTTGGTAGATTTGCAGTGGTCTGATACTCCTTCCATTTCAATATAATTGCTTGCACAGTGCTCCTTGAGATGTTTAAAGCTTGGGAAATCTTTTTGTAACTAAATCCGGCTTTAAACTCCACAACAGTATCTCGGACCTGCCTGGTGTGTTCCTTTGTCTTCATGGTTCTCTCTGAGCTTTAAACAGAACCCTGAGACTATCAAAGAGCAGGTGCATTTATACGGAGACTTGATTACACACAGGTGCATTCTATTTATCATCATCAGTCATTTAGGACAACATTGGATCATTCAAAGATCCTCACTGAACTTCTGGAGTGAGTTTGCTGCACTGAAAGTAAAGGGGCCGAATAATATTGCATGCCCCACTTTTCAGTATTTTATTTGTTAAAAAAGTTTAAATTATCCAATAAATTCCGTTCCACTTTTCGATTGTGTCCCACTTGTTGTTGATTCATGACAAAAAATTAAAATGTTATATCTTTATGTTTGAAGCCTGAAATGTGGCGAAATATTGAAAGGTTCATGGGGGCCGAATACTTTCAAGGGGGCCGGATACTTTCGCAAGGTACTGTATATATATATAATATATATATATATATATATATATATTATACACACACTTTTTGCCCCACTGTGTATGTATATATATATGTGTATATATATATATATATATATACACATATATATACACATACATATATATATATATACACATACATATATATATATATATATATATATATATATATACACATATATATACATATATATATATATATATATATCTATCTCCATATCTCCAAATGTGGTATCTACCAAGGAGATGCTCTGTCCCCACTACTGTTCTGCATAGGCCTCAACCCTCTAAGCCAAGTAATTGACCAGACTGGCTATGGATACCGCCTCAGGAACGGAGCAAAGATCAGTCACCTCCTCTACATGGATGACATCAAGCTGTACGCCAAGAGCGAGAGAGACATCGACTCTCTGATCCAAACAACCAGGATCTACAGCCATGACATCGGGATGTCATTCGGGCTCGAGAAATGTAGCAGGATGGTGACTCGGAGAGGCAAGGTAGTCCACACAGAAGGGATCTCACTCCCAGAGGGAACAATAGCAGACGTTGAGGACAGTTACAAGTATCTCGGTATACCACAGGCAAATGGCAACCTCGAATAGGTGACGAGGAAAGCGGCAACTGCCAAATACCTCCAGCGAGTAAGGCAGGTCCTAAGAAGCCGGCTCAATGGCAAGAACAAGGCCCGGGCAATTAACAGCTACGCCCTGCCAGTGATCAGATACCCTGCAGGAATAATCAGGTGGCCAAAGGAAGAGATTCAGACCACGGATGTTAAAACTCGAAAGCTCCTTACCATGCATGGCGGGTTCCATCCCAAATCCAGCACCCTGAGACTGTACGTAAGCCGTAAAGAAGGAGGCCGAGGACTAGTGAGTGTGAGAGCCACTGTCCAGGACGAAACATCCAAACTCCATAACTCATCATGGAGAAGGCCAAAACGGATGACGTACTCAGTGAATGTCTCAGGCAGTGGCGAGATGAGGAGGTGCTGGAGGAGAGCCCATCATGGGAGAACAAGCCCCTACACGGCATGTACCACCGGAGCATAACAGAAGTGGCTGATCTCAAGAAGTCCTACCAATGGCTAGAAAGGGCTGGCCTACAGGACAGCACAGAGGCACTCATCATGGCTGCACAGGAACAGGCACTGAGCACCAGAGCGATAGAGGCCCAGATATACCACACCAGACAAGACCCAAGGTGTCGGTTGTGCAAAGAGGCACCTGAGACGATCCAACACATAACTGCAGGGTGCAAGATGCTGGCAGGGAAGGCCTACATGGAACGCCATAACCAAGTGGCTGGCATAGTGTACAGAAACATCTGTGGAGAGTATGGGCTGGAAACCCCAAGGTCTAAGTGGGAAACTCCTCCAAAGGTGGTGGAAAATGAGCGTGCGAAGATCCTGTGGGACTTCCAGATACAGACCGACCGAATGGTAATGGCAAACCAACCTGACATCGTGGTGGTAGACAAAGGGCAGAGGACAGCCGTGGTGGTGGACGTGGCAATTCCAAGCGATGGTAACATCCGGAAAAAAGAACATGAAAAGCTTGAGAAATACCAAGGTCTCAGAGAGGAGCTGGAGAGGGCCTGGAGGGTAAAGGTGACAGTAGTGCCCATGGTGATCGGTGCACTCGGGGCAGTGACCCCGAAGCTAGATGAGTGGTTACAGCGGATCCCCGGAACAACCTCGGACATCTCGGTCCAGAAATGTGCAGTGCTAGGAACAGCAAAGATACTGCGCAGAACCCTCAAGCTCCCTGGCCTCTGGTAGAGGACCCGAGCTTAGAGAGGGATAACCGCCCGCGGAGGGCCAAAGGTGAGTGGACAATTATTATTATTATTATATATACACATATATATATATACACATATATATACATAAAGAGCTGTCGAAGGACCAGACGTGTCCCCCTGCTGAAGCCAGTGCATGTCCAGGCCCGTCTGAAGTTTGCCAGAGAGCACATGGATGATACAGCAGAGGACTGGGAGAATGTCATGTCATCAGATGAAACCAAAGTAGAACTGTTTGGTATAAACTCAACTCGTCGTGTTTGGATACTGAGTTGCATCCCAAGAACACCATACCTACTGTGAAGCATGGGGGTGGAAACATCATGCTTTGGGGCTGTTTTCTGCTAAGGGGACAGGACGACTGATCCGTGTTAAGGAAAGAATGAATGGGACCATGTATCGTGAGATTTTGAGCCAAAACCTCCTTCCATCAGTGAGAGCTTTGAAGATGAAACGTGGCTTTGTCTTCCAGCATGACAATGATCCCAAACACACCGCCCGGGCAACGAAGGAGTGCCTCCGTAAGAAGCATTTGAAAGTCCTGGAGTGGCCTAGCCAGTCTCCAGACCTCAACCCCATTGAAAATCTGTGGAGGGAGTTGAAAGTCCGTGTTCACTGCTCTCGAGAAGATCTGCAGGATCTGCTCTGAGGAATGGGCCAAAATACCAGCTACTGTGTGTGCAAACCTGGTAAAGACCTATAGTAATCATTTGACCTCTGTTATTGCCAACAAAGGTTATATTACCAAGTAATGAGTTGCATATTTGTTATTGACCAAATATTTATTTTCCACCATAATTTACAAATAAATTCTTAAAAAAAAATTTTTTTTTCACATTCTGTCTCTCACAGTTGAAGTGTACCTATGATGAAAATTACAGACCTCTGTCATTATTTTAAGTGGGAGAACATGCACAATCCGTGGCTGATTAAAAACTATTTTGCCCCACTGTATATATATATATTAATATATATTTGGATTATATATATATCCATATAATATATTATATTGAATAGTACTGTGATTAAAAAGATGTCTATAAAATGTGATCCAACACTAAACACTAATAGGGCACTGTCCGGTTTCTGAAATGTGCTAAAAATAAAATGATGTTAATCATAATGATGTTAATCATAATGATTAAAATGATGTTAATGAAAGTAACATTCAACCCGTTCGTTAAACCACACCATCGAACCAGACCAGGACCAAACCAGGACCAGATCAGACCAGGACAAGTGCAAGAGGTGGGTGCTTGTGGTCGGCAGAATTTCTCTCATGAAAAGGTTAAAAAGGACACATGTTTTTTCAAAACACTTCGCTGGACCAACTGTGGAGCATCCAGATCCAGTCCTAGCTACGTTTAGCTGGGACTGGATCTGGTCCTGGACCGCCGTATCAGGTCCGTCTGAGCTCTTCTGATGTAGTTAGCACAAACTTTCTCTTTACACCATTTACCCCCATCAATCCATGTTAGTATTGTTTGTCCTAATCCAGAAAGTTTACAATTCTCACACCTGAAGAAAGATGAGAGGGATTTTTTCAACTTCGTGACTATCGGAAAATAAGTTCAGACGAAGCGCGTTGGGGTCCGCTTATTATACGGCTTTGTACCAACTGAACACACAAAATAAACGTCATTCACTATTCATGCCGAAAGGTTTATTTAATGAGTGCAAAGAAAATAGTTCCCAAAGGTTTTCCCGTGGCAGGCGAGTAACAGTGAGGCTGGTTAACCTACTTTAAAAAATCGCTTTTTAGTTGCATTAAAAAAGTATTTTTGTCATGAAAACCTGAACAGATAATTCTGAAAACCTCCGTGCACGTGTGTTATGAATGTATGAATAATATATTCTCCTATTAACATTTAAATGTGTTGATTGATTGTCATTTGCGTTTATTGAGTGTGGCTCTGATAGTTTCTCTCAGAGACAGTAGTGGCGTAGCCCGTGTGACCCCATGTATCTTTTATAATATCAGCTGACAGTAGCTAACTAATGATCAAACTAATTACAAAGTGGACAGTACAAAAAAAACTTGATAAATGGAAGTTAATCACAGTAAAACAAACAAAGAAGGCGCTAACATTGCAATTTAAATGACAGGATAATGTTAGCATAATCCTCACCATTACCTTTTTATCAATTAAAACGTTCTACCAGTTACAGACCACGACATTCAAGCCAACGTTATAATTGGTCTACACTATGATCCCCGATGGTTTTAAGCTGGAATTTTGCTCCTGGTATTTCATTTTCGTCTAAAGTGACAAGTGGTATTTGATTCATTTCGGCAGTGTTTGTCCGAAACATGTGGGCGGGAGTTGACAGGCGGCGGGGGCGTGTCTTAGTGACGTCATTTAGATAGGTCGCTATCGGATATAAGAAATAAAATCAACACGATGGATCTTTAGCAAGCAGAGCCATGATACAATGTGGCTGAGGTTTGGCTTTGGCCGGAGGGGATGAACCTGTGTAAGAGCACCTGACAGAGAGTCCCCTGTGGAGGGCCCCCAGCGAGGGGCAATAGGAGGGCAGGGTCCTGGACAGGGTCAGGAGGGCACAGGGGGCACTCATCACCACCTGGACACACACACAAAGCACACATGACATGAAGAGCAGACACTGGACATAACATTTTTGTCTGCCCATCGAGGAGTGTTTGTAAGGGGTACTCATAACCAAAAGGTATTGAGTTGACTTGATACATCAATCGCAATGTAATCTTTAGAAGGTGTTGTAGGTCGTGGTGTATCTCTGCCTTGATGGATCAGAATGAGAATATTTGTTATTGCCATGTAAGTAACACAAAGTCAAACTAGGACATTGATTTGGTTCTTGGTGCAAACAAGTCAAAAGTAGAGAATAGAATAAGACATAATAAAAACAATAAAAAAGTATAACATTTTGTAAAATGGGTACATTTTCAATATTTGATACAATCATTTTGCATTAATCGATTTGAAGAAGCTGCTAGTAATATTGGTTTAAAATGTATAGTTTATCTACAAAAAGTCAACATACATTAAATAAATCAACAAACATCAATCCAATATTGTTTTTTTTCTGACTGACAACAATTGTGTTCAAAAAGAAAGAAGAATGAACCTCACATTAGTCTCAATGTTAACATCTGGTTCTAACATCAACATATCATAACTACTACTGTTTAAAACTACAAGAGCGCACACCCCACTTATTTTCTCTGAAAGAATCACCATCACAATGATCATCATTACACAAAATGATATGTATGTAACATTTGTATAACATGTGTTGACATATGCGATTTTGTTTACACTGGCTTCTTATCTTGAACACCACACAATCTACAGGTAACAAGGTCAATGATTACATTTATGTTTAACCTGATGTGATTATCAAATTATATCTACATCGCTACATAGACAAATCCACAATATCATAATGAATATATCGTGAGGTGAAGCCATTTCAACAACTTTAGTAACAAGTTAATGTTGGTCCTACCTGCTGTAGTTGAACACTTGTAAATGTGTTGTTGACATGTGTGTTGTAATGTTGTAGTGAAGCAGCAGAAACACCGGTGCTGCTGATGACCGCTGTTATATCATGCTGCATGGATGTGTTAGCATTAGCGCGTTAGCTTCAGTTTATTATCGACAACAAACAACTCACCTGATAATGAGTAAACACGGTGTCAGACTGCGTGAGGCCGGGTTGTCTGTTTGTCAGCTGTGTGCGCTCCCGGACATGTTGAAATAATCATATACATTCCACTTGTGACAGAGTTAGCGTTAGCATGTTGGCTTTAGCACCACTTGCACAGGGACATGACAGGAGCGTCAGTGTGCGTGCGCGACCTCTGCAGGAGACACGTGGGTACTGCAGAATGAAAGTACAAGCACGAGGAAACTATACATAGTTCCCACATGACGTCACTACATACGGGGATTTGCCGACCCGGCGCCATTTGTGTTGGCATTCTGTGGGCAAAACAATAGAAAAAGAAGCTGAAACGTGTTAATGTCGTGATAAAGTTGAAAATGGTCATCTCCTGCTGGGTCAATGGATGTTCAAATCGTGCCGGAGGTTCCGTTAAACTTGGATTTTACAGTATACCCATCATTAGACTTCATGAATGTGAGAAGACTAAGCTTTTGTCAGAACAACCACGGAGGTTATGGCTTGCGAAGATAAACAGGCAAGAAACTCCCTCAAAACACGCAAGAATATGCTCGGAGCACTTTGTGTCAGGTGCGTATCGTATCTCATAATGTGTTGACAGACGTAATTTACTCAGTACTAACTTGTGTATGCTGATAGCTGGTAACTTGAGAGTTTCATTATTTAGATTACTTTATTATGAGGAGGATCGGTGTCGCGTCCGAGGCTCTCGAGGGCAACGTAAATGTATTAAATAGATAATAATAGTTCTATGGTGGGCTAAAACAATGTTCACAAACAGCATTGCTTCTGTAAAAAGATCTGTGTCATAAAATAAACTGCTCTTTACGCCTGGAAAAATCAGTTGCCCACCATTCACCAAAACATACGGTCAAAAACGCGGAAATAAACAATAACAGCAATCCAGAGTGTCCGTGTGGCATTAGCATTAATTAAATTAATTGTTAATATAATTAAAATAATTAAATGGAGCTCCAACTGGTATTAAATCTAAAGTTTTTGAGAAATGTTTGCATTGCTTGTTAATTTTTGCTGCATAATTTGATCAAATATGTAAAACATGTCCGTAGCACGTTAAACTGTGGTGCCATTGTATTAATATACAATTATTTGCTCAAAAGTTGCCCTTTTTTTCCAATTTGCGTTTGAATATCTACATTTATTCTCATTCTTCTGTTTAATGGAATGCACAAACACAGCAGCGAGCCATCAAAGATGGCGTCTCCGAGGAGGTCATGTGACATTCATTGGTCTGTTGGAACTATGTATACAATATAAACTATAAATATGTATTTGTAATTCTTCTCCCATTGTTAAATATTAAAGTGCTGTAATTCAGTCCCACTATAACTCCAGAAAGTATTAAAAAACACACAAAGAGATGAGTTTTAAACACACTTTGCATTATGAAAACAATGGAGACAGTCAAAAAACAAGTCACAGCACCCAATAAAGTAATTAATTAAACCAAAAATAAAGAAAGTGAAGTGGATCACCAATGCTATTTTTAGTTTGCATGACAAAGGACTTGTAAGTAAGTACATTGTTTATATCGGATTCAAACAGGCACCTTTATGGAGGACCACAACTGTCAAAATTATAAATAAATGTCACATTCTGCCAATAATTATTAAGATAACACAACAAATCATATTTATTGATGTACATTTCCATTTTAATTAGTATCAAATAACTTTTTATACATCTTTACAATTCAATTCAATTCAACTTTATTACAGACTCTAGGTCCAATTTAAAACATACAGACAGACAAGACAAAAGAAAATAACAAACAAACAGTTATGACTTTAAAAGACAGCTATACCAGTGTCTCCATATCTTGGACTGCACTCGAGTGTCACTGAACCCGATGTTTGTCATTTTCTGATTTGTTCAGTCGACAAATGAAACCATACATTAGGTTCCCCAGCACAGCCTTTAAAGTGTTAATTCGTGAGGTGACAAACAGCTCAGTGGCTTTCCCATAAGCACTCAAAAACCGTCGTTATAGGCCACCTGCAGATTGTGCAGACTGGCTCTCTTACAGTTAGTCCACAGGTGGGCCATGTACAGTGGTGTACAGTATGATTTAAATAGTTGCACTTTGACCTCAGTTGAGCAGAAGCTGAATTTACGCATGCGAGTGTTGGCCTGTGCATCCTGCACTGTCTATAAATGTCACTGTCATCAGTCATGTCTGCAGTGATGACACACCCAAGATACTTTGTTTTTGTTGTTACATTTAAGCCAAAAGTCAGGAAAACTCATGAGCCTGTCCTCTTTGGTTTGACAGATAATGACCATACTCTTCGCTGCATTCAACTTGATGTCATGCTCGACTCCATACTCTGAACAAATATTGAGCAGGTTCTGTAAACCAGCTGTACTTGGGCTGAACACAACCACATCATCAGCATACATTAAATGATTCAGTACAAAACTTCCAACCATATTTCAGTCACATTGATAGTTCATCCATATAAACATTAAATAAAACTGGGGACTAAATGCCTCCTTGTCGTCTAATCCCGTTTCCAACTTTAAATGGTGCAGATACAATGTTTCCCCACTGAAGTCAATAATTCCCTTTGACTGACGTATCCAAAGTCGATGCAAGAGCGAGACAAGAGATCTTCACGTTTAACATCTGCATTTAATTATCTTTACAATCAGATACAGAATATTCAACAAAAAAAGTGCTCCTAAACTAATATGTCCCTCTCCTGGCCCTCGGCTGACTGACTGCCAATCTCCTCCCAGCAGTTTCTATCAAAGGGTCCGATGACGTCACAGATCTGGGACTGGTCTGGCCCCTGGTCCTGGTCTGGACCCGGTCTTCCATCTCCACCTGAGCAAACAATGCCCCCCACCACTGGGCGCCTGATTGTGTTGGACTTTTGCCCTCGTCGAGAGTGGGAGAGAGCATTTGTTTATTCTTGGAGTCAATAATTGTCTGGTTTTGTAAGCTGGTCATCTCTTATGATTCCTGAGTGCATATTCCTTTGTCTGATGTGCAGCATTTTGTGAATATTCGTCAGTCCCTCTTTTGACCTATATTAACCAATAGGTCACAATCTTTCAATATTCTCTGGGTGACGGGACTGGGGAGATTCCATCATCCTAGTTCTGGCTCGATATCTGTGAAGAGTTAATACAGGAAGACGAACAACACACAACCACATTGAAACATTCCTTCACTAAACTCTTTGATGACCACTGCTGTCATTCTGATCCTTCTTCAACCTCGTCTGTAATGTATGCACTAAAACTATTCACTATAGTTTAAACTATTCTAATCTATTTACCAATATGTTTGCATCTTTGCTTTTATTGAGCCATATTCTTAAACATATGTTTTTATCTAATAAATCTATCTATACTGTGGTTTGCTGTCATTATCAGTGGCTCTGTGCCATTTTGTGGGGCTTTGCTCATTTTTCCAAACACATTTTGTTGAACCAGGAAGTGCTGTCACTTCCTTCTCTCAGACCGTTTGGGATAAATGTACATCGTTAATCAAATTGGTATTATCCGTACAGGAGCTAATCTATTTTAGCAGGTTTCTCTGGGGTTAGTCCCTATACAACGGTATTTTGATTCTCTAATCTGTTGCTGACAAATTGACAGCTCTTAAAATTCTCAAAACTACCTAAAGATCTACTTTTGTGCTATACCCAAATTCATTAAAATGCTTTCAAATGTTTTTGAATCTGTGTTGGTTCTAATCGATCTCATTAATCTATCTCATTAGCTTTTTGCATTGTCAACATTCACCTATGTTTGAAACAAGTGAATTTGACAGTATCTAATAAAACTGTGCATAAACTGTAATGAACTTTATCTACCTTTGAAGTAAATACTTTTGGACATAATATGAAGGAAATGGTCCTTTTACCGTTTGATATTAGCCCTGTCTAAAAATAATCTCTATTTTTGAAAGCATCTATCTATTTTACACTCTATTGTGACTCCAAATCTTGGTTGTAGTTTGAGCCAAAGCATATTCCCAACTTTTGAGTTCTGATTGTAACAATAGCATTGGCAATAGACGATTTTTTATTGGCCGGTTCTTGTTCTGCAAATCACTATTCTATGTATTGTATTTCAGACAATTCCAAAAACAACACAGTCGTTCTCCAATATTAAAGACATACATCTAAATCAAGTTGCCTGAAAGGGATTTTAACTATTTTAAAACGTTCTCTACGATTATAAGGCTATGAAATTAATTATTTAATAAACAAAAGCACATTCATGGCTTCTGTCCACTGCTTATAACTGTTTAAAGAGTTGTCCCAAACTTAATATGTGTAAATACATCAGCTGTTTGTAATAAACAATAACATTTGACCTGTTCTCCAATGGAGCAGCTCAGAGGCTGCGTCAAAAGCAATGTTATATTTGAGCTATTTTTAGATTTGAAATTGTGTTAAAGCCTGTCGTTCTATGTCTGCATTTTAATACTACTCTCTATAAACACATCTGCACTAGTTCCTACAGATGTGGAAAACAGAAACATCTAAAATCTGACTCCATTTGATTCCTTTTTACTTTAGTTATTAGAATAATTTGACATTATTGATACTTATTTTCACAATAGAACTATTTTGATTATTCACTAGTCTAACTATTATTACTATTGTTTATTCTGACACTTCAACCTATAGCTCCTCGAATCCAATGACATTATAGCTCCAGACTATTTCATTCTATTCTATTATTATCTTATTATTATATGATCTATTATCTTAAAGAGTAGATCTGTTTGATGTTATAAGCGCTATTATTTCTCCTTTTGAATTTGCACAACACCCCTTTTGAATTTGCACAACACTAAATTTAGAATGACCCCCTATGGGACAAATATAGAATTTTATTTCATTTTGGCAACTCCGAAAATTACTTAATAATTTTCCCATTTTGCTTTTTTAGGC